TGGAGTGCCAGAGCGCTCTCATGCGGTCTGGCGGGAGAGAGGCGGGTACAAACCACCGGAGAGGACAAATAACACAGGAAGTGACGAAATGTGCAAAATTTAAAATTTACAAGAACCCTGTAGCGTTTTTTGAGGTATATTAGTGATGCGAATAAACATGCATTTGAGATTGACCGGTATGGGCACCCTCGGGATTTGGCAGCTCGCGTGCATATACATTTGATTCCACTCGTAGGGAGCTATTTGACTAAGTGGTTAAGATTTAAAGAGTAAAGAATATTTTATGTTATTTTCATGTACGTTTCATTACAAAGTTATATTTAATTATAATTTTCTTTAAAAGTATATTCATACAATTGAAGAAGGTTTTGTACCAGGTATGTATATCCATAACACATTTTATTTCACCAAGTAAGTTTTTATAATTTTATTTTTAATTTTAGCCCTTATATCGTGGCTAGCGATTCGGAATGTAATTGCGATATTGAAAATTTATTTTAAAAAAGTTTTGGCTCGAGATCATATAATGAAAAAGAAAACATTATTAAAAGAGAAAGGCCAATGCCTAAGTTAAATGTAAACAATTCAATAATAAAAAAATTTGTTCGACATTTTCGCGATAAAATGGCTCCGTAAATGCATAAAAATGCAAAAATTGTTTTGTTGGCTCGCCTACTATTTTCGAATGAAATTAGTGTGTGGAATAAGAATGTCTTTGACAATTTAGCTGGCAAAAAACACGAAAAATCGTCGATTCTTTCGTATTTGAAGCGATTTGGAAATCGAAGCGGAATAGAATTTAACATTAGTAAATAATATAAAATAAATATTGAAAATTATAACGAGATAGTTACGGTTAATAGATATAACATCTATTTATTTAGATATAATATATGTTTTTATCAAAGCAAGAATTAGCATTTAGAGGGCATAGGGAATATATTGGATCTAATATCAGAGGTAATTATATTGAACTTGTTTATTTATTAAGTACGCCAGATAAATAATCTATTAAAAATACATTTAAAGAAAGAATTAACTGATTGCCCCTGGAAGTCGGCTTCTTATAGAAACACAGCTTCCCTATCATCAAATGTCATGGCATGCCACTGAAAGTCACCCATAATCACTAAATATTGTTTATTCATAGCCTGATCTTCCACAAGCAGATTTTAACTGCAGAGCCTTTCTTATCGTATTATTTTGCCATTTTATTCCTCGTGTTGACACGTTACCAAGGGTTTTCATTTGATCGGGATTGAAAATTAATTTTATGTTTGTACTCTGTGTGTTGACTCTAGACTTTTAATTTTCTTATCTCTTCGTAGAGATCCTCCTTACTTTTCTGCACTCTTTTAACTCTATGTAACGCATTATGCGATTGAGATTTCAGTTCATTAATCTGTTTTGATTTTGGTGACAGTGGCTGGCTAACGAGATTACCGGAGTCCCGAAATACTGGACCAGATGTCTCATTATCTTCGTCTCCATTCGTGCTTTTACAGTCATCACCATTTTCTTCAAAAAGAAACAAAGTATGCAATAAGAAAAAATAGAATATTTAATAAGGATATTTTAAATTTATATTATAAATATACCTTAGTGGGCTGCATATATGTCATAGGAAATAAATTTGTAGCATAACTGTGGTCCAAGGTCGGATCTATACGCTCACAATTGTTTCTATGCCCTGTTTTTGGTCCAGAGCATCTTCTCTTAGGTGCGGGTCTGCGAGAAAAAAGTGTAGGCACTGCATCACGCTTCGGCAATCTTCTTCCATCCTTCCTGTGATTCTCATACTGATCTTTCTCAAAATGAGCCTATGAGAGTTAATTGTAAATATTCACATCTCACTAAACCAATAAACTTATAAAGGCTAAAATGTAACAGACTTAATACACTTTAGCCTTAGTTTATTAATGTGCAATGTACAATTAAATAGGTAATAAATAGCGGATCGGAAGCTGGCCTCATAATGGCGTCCATAAACCACGTGATCGGCAGTATCCAATCATATTTTGACCCCCCAGTTGACCATACTCCGTTTATAGAGGGCTCTAGGCAGTACTGATTAAGGGCGCCCCTAGCGGAGAAGATAGAAGCTCGCAGTTTTGTAGCGCGGCCTACGTTGTACTACAGGCCTGTGCATCTGGCTTAGAGTACGTTCGTTTATTTCTCCGAGTAACTCCGCGCGCGTTCTTATATTCCGGCCGGAGTGCGCGCCGTCGAACGGCAAAAACGGCCGCTCGTAGTAGTAGTTTACGATGGAAAGCAACATGTCGTCCTCCGTGGTTCAGATAGTTTCTTTTCGGTGTCCATTATGAATGAAAATTTAGAAGATTTAAAAGCACACGGTAATGGAAGTGTTAACTCGAATTTTTTCCGAATGGTAGCTGACATTCTAATTTTTTTCGTGCTTTTTTGTCTCTAACAACGTATATTTTAAAATCGTAGATCTCTCCATCACGACACTATCGATAGTACTGGCTCCGCCATCTTTTTATTTTTTCATTGTAGTTCCTAAATGTTTATAAACAGCAACGCACTCTCGTAGTAGCGGGAGACGCAGAGCGACCGCTATTAACGAACGCACCCTTCAAAGAGCGTTGGTAAGAAGTAGTCGAATATTTTACGTTAGAGGTCGTGTTTAGGTCCCTAGTCCGTGCGTTTGCCAACGAAAAGTTAGCGTTTACGCGAGTAAATAGTCTGAAAATCTGTTAATTAATTATTCATGCGTCGGGCAAAATATAATTCTTAACCGTATGGCAGATCCGGCACGGTTCACAGAGGCCCTTACGCCATTAAATAACAATACTCCAATCCTTAGACCGCGTAACAAGCAAGTCGCGTAAGCATAATATTAGAATTTTTTGACGACGGTATTGTGGTTACGTATCGAATTATAAATATTGAATTTTCCCCAGAAATGATCCTTATTAATAAAAAATATTCGAGTTTTGAAAGAAATTTGTCGTCTCATTCAAATACGGATATGTAAACTTCGGGTGCTAAACGTTATAAAGGTAGAACCTGTTCAAAAGGAAACCTGCCAAACCGGGAATACTCGGTACGGTGGCATTCCGGTTCACGCGGTACGCGGGTTTTACCTTATAAACTTTGATAATTTAATATATATATATTCGAATAATAATTTAAACGATTTGGCGAAACTAATTTGAATATTTAAATGTTGAAAATTTAATATAAAATCTAAAGACTAAGGTCACGGCCACTCTATGTAGTGGCCTACCAGTGGCCAAGCGGTCTTCGTACCCTGAACACTGGGAGTGAGGTCGTGGGTTCGCGCTTCGCTCGGACGGGCTGGCCACTTGGAGTTATCCGGGTTTGGAGTTATCACGTCTATAACACCTAAACGGGCCAGTTTCCCTTTAAAAAACCTCCCCGAAGGCATCCCCCTAGGCAGATCGCCCAAGTGTTGCGTTGCCATAACTAAACAAACAAACACGCTATGTAGTTGAATTTCCCTCTAAATTTAGGGGGACTTAAACACTTAAGTTGGCAACACTGTCTTTAAATAGATTCACAAGATTCAAGCCAAAAAATTCTAATTAAATAAAAGTACCTTAAGCACATTTTATTTATATTAATCTAATTTAATACTTCTAAACGACAAATTAATTAATTAGACACATCGAGGAGTTATTTTTAAGATTTTTCCAATTATTTTTGGGCTATAATATAACGCCAAACTCCGCCATTTGGCAGTTTAGATCTGTCCTACGACCGTCGAAGGTCTTTAACTAGTAGAGATGAGTTTCATAGGGAAGTCTTGCCGTTTAAATCGTCATTTAAAGGCTACTTCGAACTCGGTCGTGTCTCTGTCGTCGCCATGTTCCTCTGCCGTTGCAGTTAAACCTAAATTACTGGTGGTAAAACAGCCGCAACCGGCTCCTATCTTCCCAAAGAATGGCCCATTGGCAGTATCTGGAGCAGTTTCTGGTAAACATCGGTTTAATTCATTTTTTAAATTTAATTTCCGACTCGAATTGCACTCAATGCGCGGTAAAATTTATTTATATCGTGTAAAAATGTCGTATAAACGTTTGCCGATACTTTTGCAAACGCACTTTTTATGTCTTTGATAGAAGTGACTTTTAGGTGTCTTCTGTGTATAACTAATGGTAAGATGTAAACTCTGAATGAGGATTTGTAACCCCCAGAGTTAGAGGCTCCCTCTGCACTGGCAAAGTAGTCAAAGGAACCGTGCCCGTACGTGCAATCTTTTGCCAGATATTCCCTTCCGAAGGTCGTTTTCATCGTGTATTGGGACTACTGTCCGTTCTCCGTTGCTCGCCTCGACCCGTGCTCTGCATGTAGTCGTGCACTTCGGTGCAAGTGATATAATGTCGAGTACTTAAAAACGGTCGAGCGGGCTACCCAAAGCTGACATAATCGCACGGGCTAAATGGTTAAATGCGATAATGTTAGTGGAGCATGCGGTATGATTCCTCATTGTGTGTGTCTTGGAAGTAGGCCGATTTTGGAGGACCGTATCTAGCAAAGGGTGGTGCGTAGAGGTTTGGTTCCTTTGACTTCTGTGGCTCCGATAAGGTCCCGACCTCATCGTTCGGAGGTGAAATTGTACAAAAGTGATTTCTACCCGGCAACTCGTGGTAAAATTGCAGTTCCGAATGAGGGTTTGGATGCCAGACGGTAAACGTTGTGTTCTTGTTTTGTCTATTACTTCTACAAAACTTCCATTCTTAATTTGAACTTTTAATATATATGCATGAATAGAGAAGTGTGTAATCTGCATTGTTGTCGAATCTGTATTGAGTATGCATTAGCGAATAATTGCATGTTGTAAACATTGACTTTCGTCCTGGTAGCTGAGCTGTGTAGGAAGCATATGGTGTGTTCTGCGAGTTAATAAATAGTATGACCCCAATTAACCGATCCAATGTGGACCGAGGATAAAACTGGAAACCGTGGTTGTTTTGGATTAAGATGCCGTGCTTTCTTTTTCCACTTGTGATATTTGAAATACTTATGAAAGTTTATTAACAATAGTGTGACATACTGAAAATAATTGAATGCATGGGTATACAGTTGGGGAGGGGTGAATGACACTTACCCACATTTCAAGTTTCCGGTGTGGTTAAAAGTACTATGGTATTTACATGCTTGGACGTTTGCTGGAAAGCTTTTACAAATTATAAGAGTAGTAGTATATTAACTTACAGGTTTGCCTTTTATAATTGAAGTATTTAGATTATAATCTTTACTTATTTTTGTGCAATAATTTTTAAGTATAAATTGAAGGGCTTATCATATCCGGGAATGACTGGAATAAAATTAGACTAAATTTTTACTTAATAAGTACCAAAGAATAAAATTTTCCATTACAAATTGCACTGAATCTGGAAATGACAAATTCCACTTTTCTTCTTTTTAATTTCAGAGTAACAGCACCATTTATTATAAAATAATTTTCCAATCATTACTTTTACATTAGGATAGATACCACTCAGTTTGTTTCACATATTACTGTTAATAAAAGAACAAACTCATAAACATCAACTTACTCAAATAAAATTAAGTACATCTTTAACGTATTTTTTAAACACTAATTTACAATTTAATCTAATTATAGTGACATCTAAATAATTTAGGCTATTGCCTACTTCTTTTTTACTTTCAGATCGGATGTTTTTACTAAGTTAATTGTGTTTATAGATAGATCCGTGTGTAATATCCTTTCATTGTAAACAATGAAACAGTCGTCAACGCATCTTTGATGACTGATTATATCTAGTGTTTTATTAATCTCTTTATCAATTATCATCGTGCATAATTCTGCCAATCTGGGTCCTATGCATGATCCCATTGGTATTCCCGATTACCTGTAATATTGCCCCTGAAATTCAAAGTAATCGTTATTCAACACAAACTCTACCAGTTTTTTAACCCAATCATTACACTGTAAATAAGACAGTGTTTAAAATCGGTTCTAAGTTTATCGAAGGATACGTATTTTTAATATTGAATGACGCTATTCTATAGTTCTCTCTTATAACCAAAGTTTTTCTTACATTTAAAGATGTAGGGCCATTAAAATCCCATCTCATAATCAAGATAATTCTTATATTAACTATTATGGAATTGCTAATTAAGTTATGATGGTTTTGATAAATTTTGTGTCATACTGAATGGATGTATTTAGGCTGATGAGGGGTCTATGTACCCGAAATGCATTCTAAAGCTTGACTGTAGATAATTAAAGGCTATTTTGTAAAAATTTAATCTAATTTTGTTCCAGCCATTCCGGGATATGATAAGCCCTTCAATTTCATTATAGCTATATGCATTAGTCTATTCAATTTATACTTAATTTATGTTGTGGGTTAAAAGCGTTATTTAATTATAATTTTTAATAAGAAATATGAGTGAATATAATATAATTTTCTTTTATTGATTACACTAATTAGAAAGTTTGAGGGATTTACTGAACATTTTTGCATTTATAAAGTCACATTTAGTGTGTCCTTTTGTAAGAGGAAGATGCTAGATTTTAAGCACTGTTTTGAGATGCTGCTCTGGTGTTTTTTCGTGTAGATTTTTACAAATTCAATGTAGTAGCAGAGGTGTAGAAAGCCTAAAAAAAACTTGTGCTGCTGCCAAAATTAAGACAAATGTGTCGATGACCAGTTCCGTCGATCGTCTCTCTCGACTTCAATGGCCAAATGAGATAACCGAGCCTGTAGTTGGTGCTCATTGTCATATTAATTCCATTGACTGTGTTTATAGGTTTAATTCCCAAACCTAGGATATTTTTTCTGGTGTCTCATGATACAAAATAGAAGTTTGAATTACATGACATCGCCAATACTACTAAGTGACTTCAAAAATGAATCTAAAACACATTTAGTGTGCATTGTGTGGTACGGTCATTTCTTGAATGGTTTGGTCAAACAATTCATATCATTGAGATGTTCATTGCTTTAAAAATATTAGATTGTTGCAAATGAAATGGCAGATCTTCGCTTCTGACTTTGAGCATTTGTTAATTGCTAATTTCAAACTTATACAAGGCGTGTTTTTAAAGTAAGTACCGTTTTGAAATATAAAAAAAACAAGCAGACATTTTTAACAAAATTTTTATTTATGTGAAAGCCCATATTTTACACTACTTTTCTACATAATTCCCATTAATATTGAGACACTTATCGTATTGTGGGACCAGCTTTTGTATTCCATCCTCAAAGAATGTTGCCGCCTGATGAGACAACCACTGCAGAACGGTCGTTTTGACTTCGTCGTGATTGTTATGGCGCTGCCCTGCCAGATGCTTCTTCAAATGCAGAAACAAATGATAGTCACTCGGCGCTAGGTCGGGACTGTATGGAGGGTGGTCTAATTGTTCCCAGCCAAATGATGTGATTAGGTCTTGAGTTTGATTTGCCGTATGTGGACGAGCATTATCGTGGAGCAAAACGACACCCTTGCTCAGTAAGCCCCGCCTTTTGTTTTGTACTGCACGGCGCAGTTTTTTTAAAGTCTCACAGTATGCAGCTGAATTGATCGTTTCACCATGAGGCAAAAAATCAACAAGCAACACTCTGTATCTGTCCCAAAACACCGTGCACATGATTTTCTGAGCAGAAATTGTTTGCTTGAACTTGACTTTCCTTGGAGATGATGAATGTCGCCATTCCATGGATTGTTGCTTTGATTCCGGTGTAACGTAGGCTACCCACGTTTTATCGCCTGTAACAATACGACTTAAAAAATCATCTTCTTCATCACTGTAGCGCTCAAGAAAAGTCAATGCACTGGCCAAACGTTTGGTTTTGTGCTCCTCCGTCAACATTTTTGGCACCCAACGGGAACACAACTTCCAATAATTTAATCGTCCAGTCACAACTTCATAGAGAACACTTTTTGAAACTGCAGGAAACTCTTTAGATAAAAATGAAATCATGAATCGTCTGTTCTCTTTCACTCTACAGTCCACTTTTTCAATCAAATCGTCGATAATGACTGAAGGTCGCCCACTTCGTTCCTCATCGTGAATGTTTGTGCGGCCATTACTAAAGGCCCTAACCCATTTTCGTACCATTCCTTCACTCATAACGCTTTCACCATAAACTTCACTGATTTGGCGATGAATTTCAGCCGCTTTCGAGCCTTTAGCACTGAGAAAACGAATAACGGCACGCACTTCGCAGTCGGCGGGATTCTCAATGAGCGGCGGCATTTCAATAACACACAAACAACAGTAAACACAGTGGACTGGCTCCGTAATGGCGTTTGTGGCTTCCCAACAAATGTAGGTACACAGCGCGCATGCGCTAAGTGCCGACTGCAGCGTTCCAGCGGCGTTATATTAAAACGGTACTTACTTTAAAAACACGCCTCGTATATTCAATGAAAATTGTCTCCACCAACATTAATACACTTTTCCCAACGCAATAGAAATGCATTAACATCAATTAGATAGAAATCACAAGAATGAGAAGCCAAAAAAGTCGTTAAAGGTACTTTTTATTGCATCCTTTTCCTTGACTCCTTGCCAAAAAACTATCCAAATGTATAAAAAAAGTGATATTTTGTTGGCAAAAAGTCTGAAGAACAAGACAGACTTCTACCAATTTGCTCTTACAGCACTGTTCACATGGACTACAAGTTGAACTACAAAGGTGGAAAGTTTAAATTTTAAAAAACAGCAATTTCGTTTGCAATGACCCAATAATTAAACTAATTTTTTGATTACTTGGAGTGGGTTGTTGATCATAAACCACAATGTTTAAGTGCCGGCACAAAGGATTTTTGTAGATGTTTAACTAGTATAATTGCTCTTGTCAACCACTTGTTTATGATTCTACAGATGCAAACTAGCAGTGTTAGGGGCTTACACAATGCACAATTTTGGTAAAGGTCAACTTTAATATGCGAGTTCACCTTTTTAGATTTATTATAATTTATGTACAATTAAATCTTCTCAAAGTATTGCATTTTATTTGCGTAATTTTCCATTTCTTTATATTTTAATAAAACTTATTTTATACGAAACAATACATAAGCTTGTGTAATGTTACACAAATGGGATGTTTTCGCCTTGAAATATTTAATTATGCTGTAACAACCTCATTTCTAATAAATCTAAATAATTAACATACTTCATAGGAAATATTTAAATAATTTAATAGCAATAAATTGAAAGGATGGAAGTCGATTTAGCTAAATTGCCGCATAAAAATTATGCAGTCGTTTAGCTGAATTGCACACACGAATGCTTTCCTACTCATCATCACAAGTGCATGTATATGATATAAGTGTCTTTTGTATGTAGGCTTTTAAATCACCCTGTATTATGTGTTGTTTATGATCTTAAATTAAGCTTATTATTTAAAATTTATGATTTTTGCAATTTTTTTCCAGCCGTGTCCCAAATCAGACTGTCACACACTGACATTAAAGTTCCCGATTTCTCTGCGTATCGTCGTCCCAGTAACCAGAATCCTTACCAGCCTTCGCGGGAGACGGAAGATTCGCGAAAGATGTTCAGCTACGTAATTTTGGGAGGTAACAGAATTTCATATTTATCTATATCAATACTAAAATATGCTTTTTCTTCTGTAATTTTACTGACAAACATTGATAAATAATGCCATATATATATATCGGGTTGCCAAGGATGAAATTTGTGGAAAAAAGGCAAAGTTGGTTGATAATTTACAAATATAAGGAATTATTTTACTCGTCAAAGTATGCACCCATATTGTCTATACACTTTTGCCATTTAAGTGGCAGGTTGTTCGTGCCAGTGGTATAAAACCCTGGCGGACGAGAGTCAAAGAATTCCTGAAAGACCAGTTTTATAGCATTGTAGGAATTAAATTGTTTTCCTATTAAAAAGTTGTACAAATTGCAGAAGAAGTGGTAATCAGTGGGGGGCTAGGTCTGATGAGTATGGAGGATGATGATGAATTTCCAACTCCAATTCCTGTAGATTTGCCAGTCATTTGTGCAGTGTATGGTCTAGCATTATCATGCAATAAGATAGGAGTCGATCTGTTGACCACTCTAGGCTGTTTTTTCTTTAAGTTTTTGCATCATTTCGTCCAGTTGGTTGCAGTATATTTCTGCTGTGATTGATGAGCTAGGTTTCATGAAATCATAATGGATCACACTTGCGCTAGACCACCAAACACTCACCATCAGTTTCTTTTGATGAATATTGCTCGTTGGAGTATGTTTTGGTGATTCATCCTTGTCCAACCACTGTGCTGAACATTTGCAATTGTCATATTGGATTCATTTTGCATCACAAGTGACAATTTGATTCAAAAATGGATCAGATTTGTGACAAGAAAGCAAACATCAAGCAAGCTTCCAAATGTTTTTGTTTGTTTTTCATTCAGTTCATGTGGAACCCCCTTATCCAACTTTTTCATTTTACCGATTTAAGCTAAATGAGTTAATATTGTTTGTTTGCTAACACCAAACTTCAATGATAATTCATAGGCATGGGTCAGACTCAACGGTTGACAATATTATTACCTACAAATTTCATCCTTGACGACCTGATATATACGTTATATCATTCTGCTGATGATATGGTTATGGCAATATCACACATTATCATTAATGAAAGAGTAGCATATGGCGATGACATATTAATAAACAAAATTTAGATTATTAATTACAAATTACGTATTAATTTAACACTATAGATGATTGTCCGAGGGAGTTGGGATGCTTGAAAGGCAACAGGTTTGAGAGTTAAAATAATTTTACGTGAAATTAAACTTGTGTAACAATCTGAAATCCTCAAGCATAAACAGTTGTAAGATAAAGGAACCAATTTTGAGTTTGTTGGATTTATATTCTCCGTTAGAGGTAGTGGTATAGTGATTACATTGTGGCTTAAGTCTGTATTCCACGGTTATTTGGAGTTCAAATCTCGATTCTTTTCTTTTTATGAAATTTTTTTAAAATTAATTTTTATTTTTGCAGGGAAGGTGGGTTACATTTTTTTTTTTTTGACAAATTATTTTCCTGTTTATTTACTAATTTATTTTGTATTTCTGTTCTGCCAATGCTTTATTTTAATTGCTCTTGTTTGCAAAAATAATATAGTATTAGTCAAAGTTTCCATTAGCATAAATAAACAAACACAAATTAAAGGGAATTGAAAACAATTCTATTTAGCTGGAAGTTGGAAATGTCATGGCCTTGTAGCTGTAGCATTTTGATTCATTCATTTGTTGTTAGTCAGTGTTTGGTCAAATTTGTGTTTTTTTTTTTTTTTTGAAAGACAAAGTAAAGACTCATTTACAGCTGTTACTAAATCCAATTGTCGGCATAGAAATACGGTGAGATATCAAATTCACCAGCATCTTGGCATGAGAAAAGTTGGTGCAAGATGGTCTCCCAAACTTCTTTTTGCCATGTACAAAACCTACTTTGGACCTGTATAAAACTGGTGGAGTTGACTTTTTGAAATCTAATGGTCCTTTGTTATGATCCCTTTTCCAAAATGGAGTCAATGACATGGCAAAGAGCACGAGAGGGAGCCCCAAAACGTTAGTGTTGCCATCAACCAAATTGTTTTTTTTTGTTTTTTTTGTTTTTTTGAATGTGAGAGCATATTGATAGTGGGTTTTAAAGAAATATTACTATAGGTGCAAAATACTATTCAATGTTATTACATCAGTTGTGTACAAAGATATACAAAAAATGATGAGGAAAATTAACAAGAGGAGTGCACCTGTCGTCATTGTGGCACTTACTCAAGCTATTGTTTGGAACCATGGCTTTTGGTGGCAACTGCCTTATGGTCGCAACTGCCTTATGGTCCTGATCTCAATCCATCTGACTATTTTGTGTTTGCAGATTTAAAAAAAGCTCTTCAAGGAAGACATTTTACCAGGAATGAGGAGCTGCAAATAGTAATACTGTACCATTTTATAAAAATATTCTGAAGATTTTTGTTTAGAGATCGAATTGTGTTTTAAACGTCATAAGACTGCAAATGGATGATTTTATGGTTTCATATCTTATAATTCTGCCTGTCGACTACCTCTTCTGGAGGCAGTCGATGAACAGCAATCAAAATCTTTGTTCTATTACAGATATAATAAGACACTTACCTATGTAATTAATGTCTGCACTAGTAGTTTACCCACACTATTATTGGATTTTAATCCATTCATAAAGACGTTATTTACTACCAACACTTCGAGACGGATGACATTTATCAAATCTGTTATATCTTTTAAACCAGGTACAAAGTCCTGTAGTACATAACAGCCATTTCTGAGTTCCACTATTAGTAATAATGTCTTAGTTTTGTCGATGGCAATTTTTTTAAATATTCAAAATTTAGCATACAAATGTGTCTTGTTTGGTGGTCTTGCGTCGACCACTGCTACACAGAAGTGGTCGACGCAGTTCTTATGAATGTAATTGTGGGGCCACACATTCAGTAGAAACAGAAATCCTTGGAAAAAAGGAATCAGACTATTACATATGGGTTTAATTTCAAATAAACTTATTTAAATGTTGGGTATTTTTTCATTGCCTTTTGCTAGTCTGAAGTTGTTTGTGTTGAAGATAAAAATTTTTCAGTAAATGTTCTATCCTTGATTCTCCCCATCCCTAGTAATAATGTAATGGAAGCCAGTTGTGCATAAAATGTTTCTTTACAGTCGGAGGATTAGGAGCAGCATATTCGGCCAAAGCCATCGTGACCGGCTTGGTGTCATCCATGAGCGCCTCGGCAGATGTGCTGGCCATGGCAAAGATCGAAGTCAAACTGTCCGACATACCGGAAGGAAAGAATGCCACCTTCAAGTGGCGCGGAAAGCCCCTCTTTGTCAGACATCGCACCCCAGACGAGATTCAGCGGGAGTGCGCGGTCAACCTGGCCCAACTCCGCGATCCCCAGCACGACAGCGAGAGAGTTCAGAAGCCGGAGTGGCTTGTGCTGATAGGAGTCTGCACCCACCTGGGCTGCGTTCCAATTGCTAATGCCGGAGACTTCGGAGGGTACTACTGCCCATGTCACGGTTCTCACTACGATGCATCCGGAAGAATCCGCAAGGGGCCGGCACCCCTCAATCTAGAAATTCCGTACTACGAATTTACCGATGACGTGACACTACTGGTCGGTTAATTACATAATAAGTTATAAAAGTGAGGTGTTAATTATTTAGTTTTTGTTAAAATAAAGGTAGGTCAAATTCTTGTACAGGAATCCTCGAATGTACGAGCACCGTTCGGAAAACTCCATTTATAAGACAATAAAATGTAATTTAGACACACTGAATGCAACTTAACATTTTATTGAATTAAAACATTAACTACATAAATACTATATACATAAATTGTGTTTTTATTACACGATTTGTTTATTAATTTAAAGTCATCAAATATACATATATTATTATTTCAGAAATAATTTAACAGTTATTCTGGATTTGTACATGTAGATGGATTTTGGCAATAGACTAGTTAATAAATTTTTACACATTTCTTGTTAACACTTATCGACCATAAATAAAGAACTGTGCGTCCCGCACACGGCAAAATAATTTTTTTGTGTTAAATATGGCACCAGATGACGTTTCCGTCAAAAATAGCGGAGACTCCGAACTGCGGCGAATGCTCGACCCATTGAAACGGAAACTGTAAGTAGTTTAGTCGGAGCTATTTTTGACTAGCCGTAAAACATTAGAATAAATTATGCAAACTTTGATACGAAAAAAACGTGATGTCGATCAACAATGTAAAATACACAACAACGCAGCATGCGTTTAACACTAAAATATTCTCTGCAAACTTAACATAAAGGTACGCTTGTCGACATTTCGACAAGCCATAATTTTAAAGGAAGACTACAAACTTTTTATTATTCATTAGACACAAGAAATATTGTCTTAATAATAATTTAAGGTAAACATACTTAACTTTCCTTATCCAGTTTGGGTCTTTACAATCTACAAATTACCTTCTTATGGTTTATTGTCCTTCTGTCACATTTTTCACACATACAAAATTATTGGAATCTTCTTATGCCGAACCACCAAACTGCAATTTTTGTATGTAAATATGTAACGGAAGGATTTTCTGGCAAACACAAATACATTGTTTTAACAATAGTAAAGAGGAATAATAATAATGCCTTATAACACTTACTAAACACTAAAAAGTGCTTGGTCCAAACAAATCAAACTATGTATTAAAATTGTTATTGTGATGATTTTGTTTTTACTATGTAAGTACTGTATTAAATCTTTTATTTTGAATAAGTTGGCATCTACCATAAAACTTGCATGCATTTTTAAATAAAAATGTATTTAAATGGGTATGCGACAATAACACTGTACTAAGGAGGTGCAATTTGTACTGGATAATAACCAGGAGATGCCATCAAGAGTATCGAAATATTAAGTTCCAAAATTACTGGAAATAGTCTGGTAGCAGTATGTTATGGCAACATCCAGAACAGAGTATTTTGGGTAATTTCTTAAGAGAATTGGCTGGCAAAGTGTTGATGACACCACACTCGCCTCTCACCGTGTTCACATAAAAGAGCAGTAGACTACGAAGTTGGTACTTAACGTACAACTAACAGTATAGGGTCTATATGTGTTCAAGCCAGATTGGTTGCCTGCATGCAGTCGACTGATGAAAATTCTTTTTCGGGGGTGTCAAAGAAATGACCCTCTCTGGGAGCCCTGTTATAAATATTTTGAACAATCGTGTTTATGGTAGATGCCAACCTATTCGGGACAAGATTAAGTTAAATCACTAAGGTGCATATACCGATAACTGCATCGAACTGTCACATCCAATCCTATGAACGATTTGAGACAAGAGAGAACTTTTGTTGTGTTTTGTTACTCTGGATATACCGATAATATAAATTTTGGTATTGTGTACAAATATCGACATATGAGGTTGGATGTGGAACAATGCAAAGAATGCGGCACCGTCTCCATTTCTGCAGCAATTTTTACTTCCTTGTCATTTTGCTGGGAAACTTCCGACTAACGGTATCAAAATCCCGGTTTTGGTAAGTAATTGTTTTTGTTTCTTACTAAAGTATCTTACCAAAAATATTTTTTGGAATCAATTTGTTTTTTCCTGAATGTATTGGGAACAGGTACTTAAAACAACTTAAAAAAGAAATGTGTTTTGTGAGCTCGATTGCTCATACCTCGTCCGCCACACTTTTCGGAAGCGTCGATGTGAAGCTTTTGGCGGTGGGTAGGCTCTTCTGCCTCTTCCACTTGTTCCTGTATGTGTTTCTTATGGATTTGGTCGCCTGGCTGGCTGCGATTATGTGACAGAGCATCTCTTTACAGTCGCAGCAGACGTTTTCGACGGGTCCCTTTGTTGAATTCTCTTCAAACGAGTCCTCCGGTTGGTGATGGATAGTTTTGGAACGAAGCAGGGGTCCTTTCTTTTTGGGAGGGGAAATGTCTTCGGTCTCTTCTACATTCGAAAGCGAGTGGAAAGATTCCGAGTGTTGTACTTTTGTAGGTGTGGGAACATCTTCAGGAGGTTCTTCGGGTGAATGACTGTCTTGACTTCTGTTTTGAAAATTAAGTTTAGAATTTTTAAGCGCCAATGGATGCATCGTTCTAGTGATTAATAAATAAAGTACCGAATAAAGTCGAATGAAAATTTCCAAAAGTTGTCCGGGTCTTCAGTCGGGGGCGTCGGACTCAACATATAAACGGGAATGCTAGAAAAGTGTTCCGTGGGTATGTGCATCTGAAAAAGTTTTTAACACTTAAAACGAGTATGACTAGACAGACATGGGATCTAAACAAATTAACAACAAACCTTCGAGTAACATCTGCTACAGACGATTCTTTCGCATAATTTACACTTCACTCCCCAAGATCCAAAAAATGAAAATTTTGTCTTCTTGCAGGTGAAGCATACCTGGTTTTAAAGACAAATTGTATTAAAATTTTTGGCATACAAAAAGATTGACGTTTCAATGAATCGTTTGTCATACTTTTCCATTTGCGACATCATTGTAGAGTTGTGGAAAAACTAAGAGCGTTTCCAGATCTGCTTTGGTGAGTACGTTCCTTATGTGAACCACTTCTTCCAATGTTAGCGACAAGCATTCTAAGGATTTCCATTGAGACTGGAAGGGAGAAAAAAAGTTTAATTTTATAAAATCAAAATGTTTATCATCATTGTAATGCAAGGAAATGCAGAAAACTTTGCAACTTTTCCTAGAAGAGAGAAGTTTAATAAATCGGATATATCGTATTTTGTGTGATCACCTCTAGACTACATATCTGTTGCAATTTTCCACTAACTTTTTAACCGCTGCAAACGAACTCCTTATGTTAGTCCACAAACCAACCCTCCACAATTCCAGCAACTTTCCGATCAGAAGTAAATCTCCTGGCTTTAAAGAAATATTTGAAAAGGATGAGATCTGATGAATATGCTGGAGTGTCTGAAGATTTCAGCTTCAAAGCCTTGAATTATTTTTGTACATGGTTGTCTTGCATAAAAAGCACGCCTCGACTCAACTATTTTATGTTTCTATCACTTAACAATGTCCCATGTAGAAAATTTCTACATGGGACATTGTTAAGTGATAGAAACATAAGTGACAAATCTACATATATACAGAAAATTTTCCGTTAAAAGAGCTTTGCAAACATGCCCATTGTGTATTCTGCCAAACTCGCTGTTGACTTTTGGCAAGATGGAAGGTTTATGTAGCATATTTGACATGCTGTGCATTGGTATCTTATGTCGTATAATGTACAAACCATATAACGGATGCAAAAACTTTGCCAATACCAAAAGTAGATTCTGGACAACAGATGGATCTGATCACCCAAAACATAGATCTATCCTAGACTGGATTTTTAGACAAAACAGATGTCAAAAGAAAGAAGTTGACAATTCCTCTATACCTCAGAACTATTTAAAACTGAATTTACCTTTTATCAATTATAATGTTTATTGCTAGGAATTTTAATGCAAAACGTGACGACAAACACCAAAGTGAGATGCATCAAATACAGATGGCTGAGGTGATTAAAGCAGCCTACTACTATGGAGAGCTGGGATCGAGTCTGGGTCCTTACTGCAAGTGTGACTAAAAAGGCTGCCTTAATGCCTGCAGAGCAGCAAGAGAAATAAAAAAATTTAAAACCAGAAAAATGTTCTGGTTTTAAATCTACAGAGTGGACATATATACAAAGTCCATACTTGTGAAATTGTTGAGATACTCGAAAACCAGAGGACAAATGCATTAATCCTGCCAAATGACAATTTATTGTGAAGACAAGTCAATCACTACTATAAAAGATTGTAAACTCAAATCTGGTCACTCCAGCATAAGTTCCTAGGCCAGGCATGGCCAACATATGGCCCGTCTAATGAATTTATGCAGCCTGCAATTAATCTTTCAAAAACAGCTAGTTAAGTCCAAATAGCTTGACACCTAACAAAAAAATATCAATAACTCACTGTGTTTAGAGTTAACACCCTATTACAAATGACTTAAGCACCGAGTAGAATGTTGATAATGCATGATAATGTGAAAAATGTATCTGAAATCTGTATGTACAATTCAGTCTCTACGGGGTGACACCACAATGAGGTCTCACACCACCACAAAATCTTCCTAGGGCAGTCTCTGGTTCAGCCCATGGAAAAAGTTTTCTTTCCAATGCAGCCCGGGGACAAAAACTGTTGGCCACCCCTGCCCTAGGCTGATGAAAAGATTAATTAAATAAATAGCGAGATCTGCCAGAGCCTGGGTTGTTGTTTGTGATCCCTTTAAAGATAAATGGTCTGCAACACTAGAAGTGATTAGTTTCAGCGACTACTCACACGGTTAAGTCATAGGTCAATAACCCAAAGGTATCGAGTGCAATTGAAGATTAGAGACTCGGTGTCTCATTTTTTAGACTAAGATTCCCTGAGATAAACAAGGTAGATTCAATTTAATAGCATTTTTGTGGTTTTCTAAGTTGGGAAGGCAAGCAATAACAGTATTTTTGACACCATTGCCTCTGACTTGGAAGTTTTCCGTAAGTGTGATTGGCAACTGTGTTGATACATTAGAACGTAGGACGACAGACTGATAAAATGGCAGAAACTGTCCAGCAGAGCACAAAAGGAAAAGTGATTGGTTTTGATCTGTTTTTGCCAAAAATCAGACAACACCATACTGTTCTTCCTTCGTGCACTGCTGGACAGTTGTTATTTTATTGATACGTTCTCGTGCATCAACATAGTTGCCAGTAGTACTTACCATAGCCTCCGACTCTGTCATTTCATGCATCAAAATTACTATGCTACTGGCTGATCTACCTCTTACTACAACTGGATCTTCTGGCCTCACTGTGACAATACACGATATCTTGGTAAATTTCTCTCACAATGTTGCAGTAAAGTCACGTGATTAACATAGATTAAGATTTTAACTATGTAGTCATCAATTCAATATCACTCTAAACCATATCTTAAATATTTAATACAATATGCACAGTCAAATGTGACAGAGAGAATATAAGAGCAGTAGCTATAACCAAAGAAACATGCTGCAAATACAACATTGGGCAAGTTCTTTATGCCGAGATTTTGAACTTGACTTGCATCAAGAATAATTATTTAATAGTTATTTGGAGTACAATATTGATACGCGCATTGTTAAATATATGTGAAGGGTTTGTGTGTTGGGTTATATGAAATATTCAAAGTCGTGACATAACATGACAATTGCAGGAATAGAAAAATATTAAGGCATTAAGTAAACATTGATTCTAGGTGCATGCAACATAATTTTAAACTATACTCACGGATTTCCAAAAGTCTGAGGCTACGGGACTAGAAATGGTGTCGTCTTGAATGTAACGGTAGTCTAAAGTTTTGGCTTTCAGTAGCGGAGGTCTGATGATATCGCACTGATTGACCGGCGATTTGTAAACCGGTACACTGTGCCTTCTTTCTTCTATTTACCATACAAATGATGATGATTTATTTTTACCTATCAAAAACCTAAAAACAATAATAGAGGAAAATACAGACCAAAGTAATTGTTGGTTTCGTACGCATCAACATCGTTCGGTGTAGGATGCGATTCTTCGCTGGGAGGACTGTTAAACAAATCGTCAAAATCATCATCCTGCAAATAAAAAAGACACAGACTTAGGAATGTGGCAAATACGACCGCCACGAATAAAATTAGAATTTTTTTTAATACTTCAAAACTAGACGACAGTCGAAGAGACAAATCGACTTTAATGAGGCGTCTGTTCTGTTGTGGTTTTTCTGCCTCGTCTTCATTCATGGCTGTAAATGTTATTTATAGAATCATTCATTACTAGACAATAATATATTCAAAATAAAATTACTTAATGAGTGGTGATAAAAATTTAAGGAAGACATGTCTTATCCTTTGATAAGACATGTCTTCCTTAAATTTTTATCTCTAAAAGAATAGTTTATATATATATAATTAATATTTCTGTAAATTAAGAATGCAAGTTTTAAAGTACAGTATTCTGTATTCAATTATAAAAATTGATAATTCTATAAATACAATACTAGAAATGTTCACATTGTACACAGTGTAATAAAATACTCTGTCCCTCTTTTTATTTTTCTTTTTGTATGTCTTTCCTTAGTGCATCTGTTGGTTCCCCCAATCTGTCGCAGACCTGATACTTCAATTTGTCACAAAGATGCCTGATCAGGATTCTCGGCTAGTCCATATGGCAAACCCCATTTTCATCATGTCACTAACATTTAACGGAAGCCGAAACAAGATTGTGTGGCAACCAATGGATCCACGTGGTACAAGCACGGTCCCACCGATAAGTCAAAATGAAAGCTATGGAATATACAATAACTTTTCGGTAGCTAATGTGTATAGCATATGCTTTAACAAAAGATAAACAAAATATTTGATTCTACAAATAATTCTGAAATAAAGAGAGACCCAAAAATAGGTTAACCAAGTTTTTTTTAAAAGCAGTTTAAAACAGCCGCTTGTCAGTCTGTCACCTTGTCAGAAGCACAGTCATGAATAACAACACAAGTGTTCCAAACCAATTTTAACAGTTAACAGATTTTTGGGTCATACAGTTAACAGATTCTGTTCAAAAAGAAATGTGATTGAACTTCTATAAGACCTTTGTAAATGGCACCAATAAGTACTCGTAACCAGATCCACTCCCCTTTTGGAATCCGTGAAATAATTAAATATGTGATATTGCAAGTGTGTTCATAGGTGCTATCTACAAACAAAGTGCATTAAGATAGTAGCAAGTTTTCACATAGAAGAGTAAATGCAAAATATCAATGTTTATAAATAGTATAATACTTATAATAGATTGTGTTTGAGAAAGAACTTATGTTATTTATAAACTACATTTCGAAAACAAAGTTGTCATTAACATAACTACAACCACACTCAAATACTCCATTGCCTTAAGAAAATATAGAGATTACAATTTTTCTTGTTTAATCAAGCACAATTTCTTTAAAAATCTAAAACTGCAAATATGTATCAATTTGATGTAATTTATTTCTTACCTTAGTATATGTTCAATACAGAACAGTTGTTCTACCATACTTTTATGAGGATACTTTAAATGTCAAAAATCAAAACTGCGTCACTTCATTCTTATTTGGCATATTTGATGTCGGAGTCAATAAGACATTTGATAAGATTGTTATAAAGAAAGCACTACTACGATCAACACGGATCTTGTTCAAACAGTGTGGAAAGTAACAGACGAGGGAGCCGACGGGTCCTACAGACACCTGGAAATTCCCAACTTCCCCGTCCACTACCACCAACAATTGGTAAAATTTATAACAATGTGGTTACGAGGCTATAATAAAGCATCTTATAACAAGAAACATCAACATGCAAACTTGCTATACACTAAAAATAATTCACTCCAGGGAAAGTTTTAAAGCGTGTTTAAACCTTGGGGAATTTCGAGCCTTGCCGACTCGCTTGTGGAAGAATTGCCTACCCGATTACAATTGTGTGCACACAGATAATGCAATTAAACAATTTGTTTCTTTCGTCATTTAGATTATTTTTGTTGTAATCATGCAGCTTTTTGTAATTTTTAAATTTATTTGGATAGAATGGCAAGAAATGATAAGAATTCAATACTTGATAATATAAAACAAGATAATAAAAAAGTTTTAATCTTTTCTAATAATTTAAGAATTATTTTAAAATATATGTTTAACAGAAAATATTTATGACTTAAATTTTTAAAATAAAATTACATTTACTCACTCACCACTAACAAAACAAAATTATAAACGTTTCTTCTATAGAAAGAGAACTAACTGTCTTTCTTATCACAAGTTAAGATAAGATCAGATATATATCTCAAATGACAGTTTTACTTTGTGTGTCAAAATCACAAAATAAAAATTATAAAATACATAAATTGGAATTTATTATTGCACTTCCAAATTAATTACTGCTACTCTCGATTGTTATTAAGAATATAATCTTATAGATAAGTATATGTAGAAAATGAGAAAGTGCAATTGTTTAAGTCAGTTATCTTATCAAAAGTCTATAAAGTTTAGTTACTATACTAATATAATTCTTTTGTCCAAATAATTTTTACTACTAAATTTATAATGTATTGTGCTGCAACAAAAGATTTCTTATCATTACTAAATGATCAAACTAAAAATGGTCTGTTGTTATTGTATGTATTAACATTTATATTAAAAAAAAGGGTCCGTTTTGACTCCAAAAGCAAAAATTAGCACAATAGTGATCGTGTAATTTGGTGGTGCTGAGATTTTTCGGTCGGTGTGCAAAAAATATTTTCTGCATTTCATATACATTAAAAGGAGTCTATTTCTGTTTGTGTGTCAAATATGTTCACAGGCTGGATTTGGCTCGGGGACCACTGGTTTAAAGTTCATTTAGTGCTTCTCTAAGACCAATGGAATTCCCTATTTTTCTGTTTCAAAAAGAAAGTTTTGTAACCTGAAAAACAGGGCTTCAGATAATTTTTAGTTGTCACGAGTGAAAAGTGGGCCGGTGTGAGTGCTTGCATTTGAATAAATGCAAGCACTCACACCGGTCGAAATTTTGTCAGCTAAACTTGTTATGGGTTAAGAAAGAAATTGCTAAACTGTCTGGCAAAGTGCTATAATATGACAGCTTAAGAGGTTTAAAGTAATCATTTAAAAGATAAATGGCATAAACTACTTTTATGGTTTAAATAAAAAATGTTTGATGCTTCTATCTTTAATAAAAACATATGTGAAAGTGTGTAAAAATTATTACATGTCCGCTAAACTTCTCTACACTTCCAAAGTATAATTTGATACAAATTATAATATAGTACACTGGAGAACAGTTTAAATTACAGTGATTGAGATCAGTACAGAACGTTTTTGTCCAGTTAAAACACTTATAGGGAAAGCAGCTTGATTCTGTCAAAAAATAGTGCAACCTCACAAACTTCTCTACACGGCTTTGAGTGCAACTAAGCCATGTAGAGAAGTTTGCTCGGAGAAGAGCAATTTAGTTATTATGTAGCAGAAGCAAAATGTAGCCTGGCGCAGTGTTTGTGCCTACACCTCATAAAATTCTTATTGCTAGAGGTATGGTTTAGTGCCATACTCTATTCCAACTTGCCATTTTTGGAAGCGAACAAACGACGGTGCTAAACAGAGGTTTATAATTTGTATTACTGTTTATTGTTAGGGTATTTTCTGAGCATCGTATGGTTTAAAAATATGTAACTACTCACCCATCTGCGTTTCACGAGGTACCGGTTTAAGTTTGTGCTGTTGTTTCAGAGATGCCATTAATTTTTCGTATAACGTCGGCTGTCTCGGAGGTAAGGGTCTCAGCTTCCGCTTCGAAACCTTAACGAAACCACAGGAAAATATGAAACATTTTAAAAATTATGAATGAAATTATATCTTGGCTTTATACAATTTTATAATTGTAAAAGTTAGTAATAATTTACATACAAGGTAGAAAAATGAGTAGAAATAATTTAGAAAATTTTTTGTCTATTCCTAATTTAAAATATCTGTTAAATAGCAATGTCATTGTTAAAATATAATAAAAAGAATCTCTAAGAATGCAAGATGAACAATTAAGGTAGATATTTTTCATTTTAATGTCACTCAGTAGTAGTTTTAGATCGTAGAGGCTCTAAGCCAATGTTACTCAAAGTGGCATGCAAAGTATTTGAGTGCCATATGCGTGGGCATCCCAGCACTCAAATATGGTAATGTCAGAAAAATACAATACCCATTCCCAAAAAATCAGTTAAAATATTCCCAGTTGACTGTATAAATTAATCTGAGAAGCATGGACTTTGTGAAATCACCTGTATGCAAATTTATAATTAAATCCTTGTATCGAATTATACTTGATCTCGTATAACGTCGAGGTTCTCACTAGTAGGCTATTGGAGAAAAAGTAAGTACTGACAAGCGTACGCCGTTAGAAACTTTGAATGTACACAAATGCAAGATCCTAGTCAAAAACTACATTCTTAAAACTGTCACTGTTATTATTTACTATAATATTCTTATTATATTTCTTAAGACTTAAAGTTGGTCTCATTTTTGAGTGGTAAGTTATGAGTCAAGTCTTTTGAAATTCTCAAGTCTCCAGACTTTAAACTTTAAATTCTGAAAAATATTTGCATCAAACATATTTCTTTCAGTAACTAGTATGCTAAATCTTCTTTCTCCTCTCCTTTTATATGAAGGCGGAGAAGAGCATCCATAATTTAGTCAGTCTTGCAAGCCGTAAACATTAGTCTTATATTTATACAGCAAAGATGGAACCACGCATGGAATTTTTACAACATAAGTAATGCAATACAGTAGAATAATGAATAAACTGAACAAATAGAGGACAACCTTTCTGTCATCACTTTAGTAACAGCATAAGTGCAAAATGGTTTGGATTTTCAAAAGTTTCCTCACATTGAGGAATGCTTCATTTCTTTCGTAAATGTCTAAAGCTTGGAAGACAAGATATTTCTTTCCTCTAGACCATGGATTCATATTAGAAAAGATAATGTGTTTTTGTCGATGCATTCGAGAACTGACTCATAAGTTTTGTAAAGGGTCCAATGGGCGGTTTCGTCAGCGTCTGCCTTCGAGGTAACAGACGGTTGAAACAATTATGAATTTTTCCCCACTTTAATGAATCTAGATTCGATATAGCCATTAAGTTAGTCTAAAAATGGCATAATAATAATATTCTTCTGGTGACTCCACTTTGATGATGGTTTGGTATTGCCATTTCTTCCTTAATCCCAAATCACGGAGAGCAGTGATACAATGAAAGATAAAAGACATGCTCAGAAGTATTGAGATGGCATGGCATACAAGAAAGATTTGGCAATCTTTAATAGTATTTGACGGCATGACTGCCAAATCCTTCTTGCATATCTTTAATAGTTTTAATTACTTGAAAAATTTAGGCTACCACTTTTGTCTCTCACAACAGAGAATGTTTTCTAAAGTTTCTATAATCCCTTTATAAAGTTCACAATAAATTGGCACAGATTGGTGATGTTTGATACATTCTGTTGGATGGTATTTTTTTAATTTTGAGTGCTTCGGCTTCTTGCAGAATAGCAAGTCGTTTGAAAAAAATTAAAGTTATATGTGGATTCAACAGTTCTCAAGCATTGAATAGCCAAACTTCAACAAGATTAAGGCTACGAGAGGCACAACAAATGTGAAGAATTAGAAGCTGATCCCAATTGAATGTAGACTTAAGATCCACCTGTTTTTTCACTTGTGGCCAATGCACCATCATATCTTTGACTACACGGTTATGATATACAGATGCCATTCTTAATTTAACTTTTCAGTTGTGGCTAGGTTTCTCCCTATAAAATCTTCTTTAACCTTTAATTAATACCGGTCATTTACTGTTCCAGTTGGCACCATAAGTGACTGGTAGTTATATTTAAAATATTTAAGAGTTCTGGAAGTGAAGTTCAGATGGAGATCCAGGTAGCATAACTGACAACACATCCACATAGGAGTTGTGGGTTTGAGTCCTACTTAGAGTCAGTTCTTTTCTTCCAGAATATTCTAAATTTAAAATTAAATTAAATTCCAATTATGCACCATTAGACAACATTTTGACTTTTTTCTCATATTTTCCAGTTCCATTTTGTGATAAACTATCGGTTCGTGCCTCTCGAAGTAATCGAGTGCATCCTTCCAATTTCTTTCTGATCCGTTTGCCAATCGAAGGGTTGAGATCCTGCACAAATAGTCTTTTTAGATAGCAAGTGACAAGCTTTACAGAAAGTCTCGTTCTCCTTTCTGGAGACAAACAATGGAAAGGTTTTGGCCAATGCCCTTATAAACAAAGGATTTCGTTTCCACAACAAAGAAAATTCATGTGTCATTTCTGGAGAGCTAACAATGGCTGGTTTTTCGATCAGTACCCTCTGTAATAATTTTGCTGATAAATCTGTTATAATAGGACTTGAAGAGGGGCACATTAAGCCCCAAATGCATATCCTTTCCTATCAATAAAGTGACCTTTTTCCATTAAAAGTGTTCCTGTGTGATTTGTTCTCAATGGCAACCTTATGCTAAGAAAATACATCGATACTAGATAGAAAAATAATAATTGTTAATGGATTTTAATTAAGATACAATCTTGATAATCCAACATTTGTGGAACTGTTTCAATTTCATGCATGTTTTAATTAAGGAGATTAGTTTAGGAGGAGATTGCCAGATTATTGGAAGGAGCATAATTCAACAGCATGAAGTTGATTATTAATTTTGCAGCAAAACAAAAGTTGAAGGAGTGATCAAAACATCTAAGTGTACTGCAATTGCCATTAATCGGTGTTGACAAATTGGTGTATTCCCACTAAATTTAGCAAGAAATTTGTTGGGAGAGAGTGATTTTGGTTGAGAAATTTCAGCAGGACTGATTTTTATATTCACATAGAATTTTGTTATAAGATACTTTAAGCAACTTAAGATGAACAACCCGGCAATCTTTAATATCATACCAGAGCTTGAATGCGGGCTTGATATCGTTCCACATTTAGTGAGAAAGAGTTCAAACTTAGTGAAAATGCGATTTGAACTAGTAGGAAGCTCGTCTACAACTCGGCAAGGACGACAATAATACCCGAGAGTCGACCGCTGTCGGATTACCAAACCCGTCAAACTAGCGAATGGCCAGATTACCGAGAGCATACTGTAATTTAACAAGTTGCATTTTTTTCTATTATTATTATTTTTTTTAAATCTCTAATTTTTCTGAAATGAGGGTAGAAATCTCAAAACTCTTGTGTGTACAGCCTCGAGCAATGATAACAATGTGTGTTTCCACTCTGCCATAATCTTTAATGTTTTGGCATTATAGTTTTTTATTAATGTTCACATCATGTAACAGGATACCATTATTTTCTTTCGTTTTCTACGTATAAACAACTCTGGTATTTGCGAGCAATTTCACGAATTATTATTTTTAATAAATTAGGTTATAATCTTAGATCTGCAAGGAAGTAAAATGTTTTTAACAGGTTTATATCAGCAAAATTGTTACATTGATAATATTTCAAATATAATTTTATCAAACATATTTATATAATTTATACAAATACTTACGATACATTACTAATAAGGAAGGATTTTAATTAAATTTTTACTTTAAAAGCATGCTATTATCAATTTCACAGAAATTATTTTAACTTTGTGAAGTGAATTTCCAGAAGTTCACTTCACAAGTTTCTTAAAATCATCATTTACGGAGATATTCTAATAAAATTAAATACATTACAAGATATTTAAAGTCTAATTTATTAAAAAAAACTTGCTAGTATTCGACACTAGATTAATTTTTATGCGAGTTATTTAAAATTACCATTATCGTAGCTTGCGACTTATTCTAAAACTGCAAATAAATAGCCTGTAAAATGATCCAAACTATATACTTTACATTATATTTAATTGAATTCTTGCATAAGAAAAACATGAGACAATTCGAAAGTCTCCACACAAAGTTAATAAAATAAAACATGCATTGATAATAGCAAATTATAAGAAGGCGTGCAATAAATTAATGGAGGCAGATCGACAGTAATGATGCTCAGTTACTTATGAGGAGTTGATTTTATCGATTTATTTTATTTTCAAAGCAGGAAAAATAAAATAAAATAAAAAAAAAAGAAGGAAGAATAATAGAAATTTATATTTTCTTTAGCAAAATTAATTAAGTTTACTGCAACATACTTTAATGCGAAATACTAGCTTTAGCCAAATTAAATAATTAAAAAGAACAGAAGACAGTAATTAAAGAGAAGGATTAGAAGTGAAGAAGAAAGAATATTTTACATTTTTTAATGTTTAAGATTCGTAACGACACACGATATGACATTCTTTTATCAATTAATAATATCGGATGCGTTAAAGATGATTTCGTTCCTTATTTACCAGCAATCTGTATTATAATTAATTTTTTAAAATAAATAAATTAATTGTATACGCATTAGTAAACTTGAAAACACAAATTCATACATTTCTGTGCTCTAATTACTATAAAACTAGCAAAAAGATTTATGTCTATCTTAACCAAATTTTAAATGGCTTCTAAAATTTACTTTATATAATCAAAATTCACTTTGTTTATGAAATAAAGTAATAAACTTCCACTCATCTCTCTCAAAATCAATTATTTTGCTTTACAGGATTTCAAACAGAGAAGAGTTGAAGTTCATGCCTTGTACATACAAGCATAATGATGTCGGTCGTGCTCGTACATATAAGAAATGATTAGAGTCGGCACTAAAAGAAACTTTTCCAATAAGTTTCTTAGGCAGTGGCATGGCACCATTAAAGATACAGAAGATATATCTATATCACAAAAACACTGTAGCTTGTTTTGATTAATGATCTGATACTCTTATTAATGTTTCCTGTCTGTAGTCCACAGATTTCTCATTTAAAAAAATTATGGCAAGATTATAGTTTGTTAACTCTACTGAGTATTTAATATGGATTTTATATGCAGTTATATATATATATATATATATATATATTCCTTTAAAATTAACTTATAAAATATTTGAAATGCATAAATATCTCGTATGAATATAAAAAATTAAATTTAGTATTTTAAAATGCATAAAAATCATTTAGTTTTGGGTATTATTTACAATTTGGAAATATTTTTTATGTATTGGATACATTAAACACTACATAAAAGTGATTCAAAAGTCTCCATACGTAGACAATGAGTTCACTTTAATATTCAGTCGCGTGTAAGTTACAGAATATGATCTATAAAGTGGAATTTAGCTGAATGCAAAATGCGCATCTTACTCCCACTTGTAGCAAATACATGCTAAGGCATTTTGAATACATTCAGAATTGAAGACTGGTTTCAGTCATTGGGGCATGACTGAATCATCCCATTCAAGGATGAAGCTTTGAGATGCCCCACAGCTCTCGGTGGAGACGTTAATGGTGAACGTGTGGTCATAATCCAATCTAGCCCACAGAAGGCAGCATGTTTCCAGATGGCAGATGACACTATTTTCTTGTGCTCAGAATGTTCTACAACATGCAATAGTTCTGAAGAAAAGCAGACTTGCATTCTGCAGATACACAAGGCAGATAATAATAATAATAATAATAAAATTAATGAGGGTGATATAGCACCAAGCACTATACAGTTTGTTTTTTTGTTCCAGGAAAGATGTTAATATCAAATTACAAATCATCAGAACTGGTCTGTCTTCATTTAAAGATCTTTAGAGCAAAGATAAAATGAATGCAGCCATTTGCCTCTCATCTGCCCTTTTGTTTTAACCTAGAGAATGACTTTTTTCTATCACTGATGTTGACTGCCAACAGGCGACAGCACAGTTTACCTGAATGGATTGCTCAATCCTAAACCCACTCTACAAATCTAAACACATTTAGCACTTCTATCTGTTATCATGAAAGTGATGATTGCACAACATGCAAATAGCCAAGCTAAATACTACAGAATGTAGACATCTTTGTTGAATCGGAAGTGCTTTTTGGAATTCATTTTAAGTTCAGAAACAAATAAAATCATATGGATTTAAGTCTGGTGAATGTAAGGGTTGTCAAGTGTTCTCATCCAACTTTTCTGATTATTTACAACATATAATCACATCACTTCAGAAATATCTCAAATGAAGTTGGCTCTGTGTGATTTTTTTTCTATTTATGGATATAAAAATTCTAATAAGTGATTCCAGTTCAATATGGATGCTTATATTACTATACACGCACAGTCTCTTCTTTCATAGTCTTTTGTAAGATCAGTTTTGGGAGACTTAACACAAGGATGCAGTAAAGTGCACACTGTTTAAAAAGTATTTAAAAAAAAAAAGAACTTTTCATAAGCTAACGACCAAGGTAAATTCTAGCAACATTCCAAGAATGAAATGATTGTAATTGCTATGTAAAATATATATATTTGTGTTTTTAAGTATTTTGAAAATCATACCAACATGTATACAATTAATCAATCAATTTTAAATGGCAAACTTGCAATCTTAAAACTCCGAATATAAATTCAGAAATATTTAACAGTAAAAATGCTTTATAAATTACATCATACAAACTATCAAAAATGAGATTTCTCATTTACAATAATTTATATATTAAGACACGAAGTTCAAGATGGTTTACAACTGTTCACAATGGTTAAATCACCAAATGGTATATCCGTCAACTAACTGATGTTAACTTAAATTGAATCAATTGTCTAAGAAATAAATAAAAAAATTTGAAAAATAAAAACTTAAAATACACCATCAAATAACCCACAGACTTCCAAATTAATACATTCAATATCCTATGTTTAAAATTCAAATAAACTTACAGGAACGAGAGGGGGACGAGAACGTATGAACTCCAATATAAGTGCGTGAGCATCTTTCTTTACACGAGGAGGTATATCTCCGTTAACCTGTTAAAAACATAAATCAAGGATTTTAGTCCCTATTTTTTAATTGAAGGAGTATTCAATATTCAACACTGCACCTGAATAAATTCTCTCTTCGATCACTTTTATAAATCATATAATTAAGAAATTAATTAATTAATCAGAATTGTGAGAGCATTTCATTTTGGACAAACATTTTTCTTAAATATTATATTAAATAACTTTATATATTATTTAGATTATATTTAACTTATTATTTAATTTTAACATGTCTTTGTAGTTACTAAATTAAATATGGATTTCATTTGTTAAGAATAAATTTCCATTATGATCAAATAAAAAGTTAAACTCACGAGGAGTTTGGTTATGCTGAATGCCTTCATGAGGTAATAGTGAGGTTGAGGCAGAAGTTTTAAACGCGAAAATGTGTACTTCGGATGTTCAGCGCCACTTTCTTGTAAGCCTAGAAATTTGACAATGGTGTTTGGATTGTCAAGCATGATTTCACTGATGTTCCAAACGCCATTGTCAAACTTCTAGGCTTACAGGAAAGCGACAATGAACGAAGTTTTAAACGCAAAAACGTACACGTTTTTGCATTTAAAACTTCAGCCTCAACCTGGCTAATGAAGGTATTTAGGAACGTGCACTAGTGATTCCGACAATATAAAACACACTTTTATGAAGCATGTTTTCCTTTGTGAAGTATTGTTTTCTGCTTTAACTGATGATAAACTGCCAGGAGCAGAATCGAATAATAATTGTTTACAATTATGTTTTGATTGTTTACAATTATGTTTACAAACATTTTGCTATCGGAATTATCCCAATAGTACATGCCGACAAATATGGCTCCATGATTGTATTTAATAATTATTTCAAATGATTTCTTTTATTATTATATAAAATAAACTTTACAAATTGAATGATAACTTGCTTATCTTGTCACAAATTTTACTTGTAGTATGAAAGAGTTAAAAAATAAATAAATAAATCGGACATTACCATAACTTTATTTAGTTTGTATCGCCTAGCACGGATATCATCTAATAACATTTCGTAAGGCGTGAGTTCGTATTCGATAGGGTGCGGAGCGCTATCCACCTTTTTCAATTTAACTCCCTGACGAAGTTCTCTGATGACTTGCATCCATAAGCGTGCCTGAAGTACAGAAATTCTACATATATCATACATGAGTATTCGTGAAATATTTTAATGTTTATTTACCCAGTCCTGAACTTGAAGACAGTCGAGATTAGTGCCATTGGATTCTTGTTGCGAATTTTTCAATAATTCCTTTATCAAATCGATAAGCAAACTTATAAAATAATAACAATCATTTAACTTTTTAAAAGTTTAAAAACCTACTTTCGTTCCTTGCGATACTTTCTCGAGAAACGTCGATAACTCTTGCACTTCTGCCACTAATGCTCTACAGACGGCTTTGTAATGGTTGTCTGCTTGATGCGGATTTGACAGCCGAGCCATGCACATCTGTAAAATGTTAATTATCCATTTAAAAAAATTTTTTTAACATTTTAATTTAACAGAAATTAATTTAAAATTTAGAAAATCAAATTAAAGAAACCTATTCTCAGATTCCATTTATCAGTGTACGATAAATGGAATCGTACACTGATTCCATTTATCGTACACTGATAAATGTACATATTCATAAAGGTAGGTTTCGGACAATATTTAGAATGGCCTTTGGTTCTATCCAGGACCGAATCTGTGGGGTGTGAATCTGGGTTCTTACTCAGTTTGGCAGAATTGAAAATGGCAAAGTAATAACGAAAAATTGTTTTGAATTATTATCATTATATTCATTGAAATGGTGATGTACTCACTTATGACGACATAATCTAGAGCCATATTTTTCAACTGCTGGTCCACAAAACAATTATAGACCATTCCAACACTGGTGCAGTTGATTATGGATAATATTTAAACATTAATCTAGGATTTCTGTAGGTACTTTGCTACCTACCGAATATATGTGGTATAAGCATAATTCATAGCTGCATATAACTACTGGTCTACATAATTTTACCAGCTGGTGATGAGAAAAAGGTCAAGAAACACAAATGTAGAGGGTGCAAAACTAAAATTCTTATTTTTTTTACAAAAGATCCTATGCTAAGATCAAAATTAACAACTGCAATAGGCATCTTAACAAGAGATTAATGGGACTTTTCAAACCTTCAATAGCATTTCATTGTTTGGTAAATCGCAAGAAGTAATTACTACCTTTTAATCATCGTACACTTAAAATAGGGCCATGTTTTCTGTTTTATTAGCAAAATTTTTTCGTGCATTGTAATTAATAGAATAAGAACACTTATTAACAGAATTTTAATTTGTTTTTCGTATCCACTTGTATTTATTGTCGTAGTACTTTTATCATTCAAGTTTTCAGATATTTTGAAGATTTTTTTTAAAAATTAGTAAAGTATTACTATTCATTACTTTTTGCCCTTTGTTACTACCTGAAACTGTGATAAATTAACCAGTTTCTTAAACATTTTAGGACTTATCACACCAGTAAGTACGATATTATAAACAAATGTTGTTTACTTAATATTTAAATTTTATAATTAAAGAATAAAGCATACAATAATTTGATATTAACTAATACATCCAAAATGCATTTCAGACTGTGTATTTTAACCTAATAAAAAATGTTTGTACTGATCTTGAGATGCTCCATGGCTTTGTAATTTAAACTGCGCCACCGTCTTACATAGGAGACGAGATGAGATTTGGCCGTAAGAAGAGGGAGTCGTGGCGCAAGGCAACTACGCCACAGAACAGCTCACTGCCAATTGCCGCGTACTTATATCTTAAAGTAAATCCACATTTCTACAGCTAGCTTCCAAAATTGAAATAAAAACTATCCATCTTTGCTCAAATTTAAGCAATGGCCAACAACGATAATACTGATCTATGAGAAAATAGTCTAACAGAACACGAAAAGTAATCTAATTTACAGACATAAGTTAAATTTTATTTTCGTAATGGGCCTTAAATATTTGTGTTAATGTTCGTAAGATAGAAATCATTCTTAGATATGTAATATTGATACTTTGTAAGTAACACAATAAGTAACAAAATAAATTTGGAGTGATAATCTAATTTTGTGTATTTAATTGTTTTCTTAAACTTAAATTTGACAAAATTGAAAGTGTTTGGCAAATTGTCAAATAATAAGTTAACAAGACGCTTAGCCAGATAATTATAGAAAAAAATCCCAATTCTCGAAAAAGTGCACCATAATCTCATAATTAGTATTTGGTTCTGCCAAATTTTTTTTTACTTATTAGCTTAAATAGAGTATTCTTCATGAAATTGATAAGATTTTAGCATGTTTTATCTTGAATATTCTCCCATGCTTCCCGATGGCCACCTTAAATTCATTAACAGTGCTAAACTGTTGTCCACCACTGTAAACCTTTATGCTGGAAGTCCCCACAGATTCTCAATTGGATTGAGATCTGGGATGCACACTGGCCAGTCAAGAACAGTTATATCCTTTGAATGAAACCAAGACTTGGTGGTCTTTGCTGTATGAATAGGGGCATTATCTTGTTGAAACAACCAATTTTGACCACCAATAATTGGTTTAAATAATAATAGATGATTTCTGAAGTATCCTGATATTCCTTAGTTTTTTGCTGGCCAGAAATAAATATGATTTCAGTCTGTGCATTGAAGCTGAATGTACCCCAAACTATCACAGAACCTGCACCAGACATATGACTGATGAATGGTTCTTGTTCTTTTCTTAAATGGTATTGGCAGCCATCTAGCCCATTACTGAAGACGACTTGTATGCCATTCAGCATCCCATGTTTGGTATTTTCAGTCAAATTTCAGTCGTGCCAACTTGTGCTTCTCTGTAAGCTTAGGGGCCTTTGTACGCTTCCAGTAAACGATGGCTCATTCCAAATATTTGCCTAGTCTGATACAATGTATTGCCTGGTCACATATTTTACACAATACTCAATTAGACCTTGTTGGAGTTTCATCAAATAATCTGTTCCCTTCACTAATTAAATGGACCTGTTCCTGTTGCTGCACGGTTTTACAGTTTGGCCCATGATCTGCCAAACGAGCTGCATATTATGGTTTATTTCAAACAGCTCAATTTATTTTATGCATTAAATTCTATTCTATTTTGGCAGTTATTATACTATTTTATTTCTTGTTTAAAATGAACTGAAAAAGTTCGTTTGTTTTAGTCAACTTTTTTTTTTTATTAACCACTCAATTCCTGTACAAAATTACTCAGAATTCTACGTCATACGCTAGCACATTTTAAATGGATTTCCACACTCGCAACCCCTCTAGCGGATTCTAAGAATTTTTTTACTTAGTTTAGCAAATTTTACTTTTAGTTTAAAAATCTCTACTATTGTTTTGACTCTCACAAAGGCACCCTCTGAACCGTCATTCGAGACAAATCGTGAGACATTATCTCCCTTAGTACATCACCGATTTTATATACATACGTAATCTTTCTTCGGCGATAAAAGTTTTGGCAAATTCTCATAAAATATTTCTGTTTACCAAGAAGTGTTTGGCACATTGTCAAATAATAGTTTAATGAGTTTGTCTGTTTGGAGTAGTTGCAAATAAACAAACAAGCGTGGACCCAAATAGACAAATTTTATTGAAGTAATTTGGCAACAATAAAACTGAATATATTTAACAATCGTAGATGACTGCTGCAACTTTTCCAGGAGGAATAAAGGGATATAGTTAAATTATAATACCGCTGGGATCTCATATAGTGGAGAAATATAGAGAATAGAATTTTCCAACACTCCTGAGGAAATTAATTAAAGGTTCCAACTTCCAAATCCTTCCCATGCACTCGGTTAGAAAGCCAGATCCAGTGGAGACAAATAACCCATTTGTCTCCAGTGGAGGCCCACGTTAACAATATAATATAAAATTTAATTTGCATTTTTCTCTATATACATAGAAAGATTACAGCTTTCAATTTAAAAAAAAATAATAATAATGCAGCAAATATTTAATTTTTTAATTCCAAATTATTTATAAAGCATTATTTACCTCTAAAACTCTTTCCAAAGTAAGACCGGCTTTTTCGTGTCCCGTTTCGCTAAGCGACATGTCGTCCTCTTCGGAATCTTTTTCAATTCCTTCGTCTACATTTTGCGAAGCCGTTTCGTCGTCCGAGCTAGAACTATCATCAGCATGACTGTCGTCGTCGGGATCTGCCGAGGTCATCCTGTCAATTAATAATTCTAGCGACGGACTGAGAGATCTTTCTTCTTCTTCGCATAAACCGAAATCCAGTGCATGAAATAATGTAATTCCTAGTGATGTTACTAGCTGAAATAAATAAATATGACAAGAGTGAATACAAAATATAACAACTCTAATTGATATATCTAAACTCTTTGTATTCTATTAAAGGACTGTATATTTAATAATTAAATACATCTATTTAATTAAAATTAATTCAACAGTTTTGCTTTCATATCAAAGCAATAAATATTGATATATTAATATGTTCAACAGAATCACCTCTTTTTCAGTTAAAAAGTGTTCCTTGTAGTGCACTACAAAGGGACATCAGGCAGACAGAACGTACGATCCATCCTATTTGTAGCCTGGCCAGAGAAGCGGATTAAGTGGCCAACACAGCCTATACCTTTCCCCAGGGATTGTCCTCCAAGTACCCATTAAAAAGGAGACTGGGTGAACTGCTGCACTGTAATAGAAAGTTTGATTGTATGAACAGCTGCACTGTACAGTGCAGCTGTTCATACAACCAAACTGTCACGTGTCCATCAAATAGTCCAGTACCGTAGTGCTAAACAGCCAAATGGATGAGCAGTTAGGATGTTTGCCTACTGCATCAAGGACCCATAAACGAATCCAGATGGCTGAAAAATCCACAGGAACTTTTTGAAGGCAGTTTGTACTGGATATGTTGGATCCTGTCCTCACCATCCAGCTGCCTCTGGATGGTGAGGACAGGACCTCCTCACCTCCCTGAGTTCTACCAATCCAAGGGATCCAGGACTGAACGCAATCAGGTTGAAAAACACCAGAAATTTTTGAGCTATAGTCCATCCAGATACATTGAGCCTCACCCCTCACCACCCAGACAAACTCTTAATGGACTTTGGTAACCCAACTAAAACAGTGCCAAACCAACAAGAACTCTATTTTCAATTACTGATTATGAAGTCAATGATAATGTTTTAAACTGTATTAATAGATGGCTGAATAGCTAAAGCTTGGCGAGACCCACGACCGAATCCAGACAAGTTGAAAAAACCCAGAAGGGCTTTTGTGGGATGGTCCGTCCAGATATGTTTAGTCCCATCCTCATTCCTCATCACCTGGTTGCCTCAAACCCATTATGGGTATGAGGCAACCAGATGATGAGGATGGGATCCAAAAACCCATGGGATACCTGGACAAACCCTTAATGGGCTTGCTAAAATGAGGCTCACAGGTGTAGAGTTTAAAAAACTAAAATAATAACGTCTTTACGGCAGAAATATAGATTCACGCTTTCGTTGACTCATTTTTCGCTCCTCCATTTTGTTTGCGTTGCTATTAGTAACACGACTGCGCAGTAAGATTTTTGTCGGATAACTGCCCTTAGCTATCGGCCGTGTTGCCAGGTAAATCGACTTTCAACTGGATGACGTAGTACGTTTCAAATGAAACGATTTATTTCATTGGTTTTGATCGTCCAGCTGTATGAAAACCCGTAGAGGTCGCTTTAAGCGATTTAGGCTTTCCAAGGAAAACAGCGCCGCTTTGCAATTTATAAACTTTATTTTTATATAAAATAAAATGAAACTTTCACTCGGAAATGGCGCAAAATTACGGCTGATGTTATTTAAAAAAAAATTAGCCAGTGATAACGCGCAATTTTCTAAAAATAAATTCTGAAAATACTTAGCCGTTCGTGGCAGCCATCTTGAATTTTGTCTTCGGCGCTTCCAAATTTTGTTATACTAACACTTTAAAGGCTTAAAGCGCTAGTAAAACTGCAGGTTTACTAGGCAACGCGTTGAAAGTATAGATTATTTTTAAAATTAATAACAAAGCTTAAGCGGTAACTCCAAAGTGTAGTACTGTATTTGAATATTTTACATAAAAGCTGTACTCCAAAAAAATAATGTATGTGTAAATATATTCGGCCAAATATCTAAGAGATTTATTTATGGCAAGACAATTGAGTACCGAAGAATAAACTCATATCATGCTGCATAGACCTTCTATAATACAGGCCGACACAATTTCAGAGCAAATTAAACTATAGTTTCGAGCATGTAAACACTATAAAATCTTCTAAAAACTTGATAGTTAATTAGATTTTTATCATTCAACCTTTGAATAAAATTTGTTTTAAACGAAAACAAGTAGGACTTGGCCATTGGCCAAAGTTGTAAACAGAGATTTATTTAGATTTAACAAAAAGAAAAATAAATCAATTGTAACGTGATATAAGATGAAAACTCTATTGATCTTATTCTACCAAAATAATGTAAATCTCCGTTAATTATCTCCAGATACAATAGGAAATTTCCTATCCGGCGAATACAGGCCTATCCTGTACTCTCTATCATTCATTTTATAGAACAAAACCCACAAATGATATTTTATACACAGTGATTCAAAGGTTTCTGTACAAAACACGCCACCCAAAGGGGTGCACTACGATGTGTGTATTCACATAAGTGATAAACAAGCATACAGTAAAACCTGTGTAAATCGGAATCGCACGATACCGACATTTTTCCCGTTTAGACAGGTTTCGTTTTGAACAGGTTTTACTGTATAAAGCTGTATCAATCTGAGAGACGAAAGCCCCTACCGTAACGTTAAATGCCTGCATTGTTTCCTGCTATTAATCACTGTATAAAAAGCGAAAGTATACACAATGTCATAGCGTGAAAATGCATTTCCGTTAAATACTTTCAGAAAAAGTTCTTTCACCTCAATGAATAAAAAAAAAATGAAACCTCAAGGTTATCAAGCCATCAGATTTTGGTTCAAGCAAACATTCGTAGAAAATACTGTTTAAATTGAAGAAAAATTACGAGTAAATCTTCATTAAGTCACGTGAACCCCATCTCCCATCCCCTCGACCCTTAACCACCAAAATTTAATAGCAACGATTCCTCTAATACACAAACCTCCACGCAAAATTTCTGAAATTCTCGACAAAAAGCACGGGAGTTATTAAGCTTCAAAGTGGGTGAACAGAATTCCTGCTCCCCACACACACAGAAATGTAAAATTCTTGGAGGGGGTTCACTTTTTGACCGACCGCCATACTTTCCCTTTGTTGCACGTAATTATAAAATCATAACTGTAGAATTTCCACGAATTCATACTTCACATCATCATGGACACAGTACGGAACCATAGAACACTAGTAGTTTGGGTCGCGAGTTCGCACCTCATCAACGGTCGGTCACGTGAAGCAAGCTTTCCGGCTTTTCCTCACGTGTCTAACGTTTCCCACAGAAAGTCCCCCCTTGACAGATCGCCAGGTGTTGTGCTTCCGCATCCCAGTAATCCTACAATCCACATTGCCACGATAATATACCTTTCATAAACAAGCGTTAGCATTTTTAGGCAAATTAAGCACGAGTTTTGTATGAGGCCTGACGCTTTTAATTAAGGGCCTCGGACACAAATACATATTTATCGATACGGGAACTAGATCCAGTACTAAGAACGTAAACTTTTTACAATATCTTACGATACGGCCTTTATATGATGTAAACGTACGAAAGAGGCCTCGGGGGTATACAACTGCCCAGGGGGGCTTCGCTCATCGTAAAACCTCTACTGTAAACAAGAAGCACTTTTACGGAGTTACCTTTGAATTTCTTTTGGTATTTTTTGCCCCAAACCAAGAAAATATTTCTCGCAAAAAATTTCCTCTAAGGTAAATGTCCGAAATCAACATTGTACCGATACATACGCGGAGCCCCCTAATTCGAATTTGCCTATGTACGCCCCACCAAGCCATAACGCGCGGCCGAATTTCTTCCAATAAAAAAAAACACCGGTTTCATTCAAAAAACTGCAATTTCCTCCTTTTTATTTTGCCATTTCCTCTCGAGACACCGGAAGGCACGTGCCGACTAGGAGTCGCTTTCTCGACCCTCCCGGGGGATCGCGAACCCGCCGTTGGAAAACCCTCAAAATAAGGCACGAACTCCAGAAGTTAAGTGTATTTTAACAAGTTCAAACGTAACCATTACCGAAGAGAGACGTGAAAAAAAATTAATTAACGTTCGGGGTGGTCCAAAAGTCGGTTAACCGGAGCTCGGTTAACTAATTTTTGGCCTACCCCGCGCGTGTAATTTGATATTTTAGTATTTAGTATATATATATAAAATCGTTCTGTCTCTCTGTTAATAAGATCAATATTCTATTTTTTCTCCCTTACTTTTAATGTAGATAATTATAGAAGCAAGTAAACATATAAATACTTTTTTCCTTTGATTCTTGTTTACCTTATATTCAGTAGTAGCAGGTGGCCGCGTGAATCCTGAAAGAAGAAGAAGAAAAATTCGTTTAATTTTTAATTAAGATCGAGTCAAATCGATATTAAGACGAAAGTTTTAAAGATTTTTGAGTTATTTTCACTAAAAAAAAAAAAAAGTGAGAAAATGGCGGAAGTCGAAGGAAGAACAGGTGAACTAGCGGTCAAAATAGCGGATTAGTTTTTAAGGGATGCGACCTTTTTACCAAAAATAACCCCGGGCCTAAGTAAAGCCAGGAAGTGAATGAAAAGGACGTAGACCTAACTTGGTCCCGTAGGCGAAAGCAGTGTTAAAGTCCAGTTATTCCAGTTTCACTTTCTCCCCCTTCGGTGTAAACGGAAGAGGTTAGGGAAGAAATTAATGCACCAGATACTAGTAAAGTCTTCCCCCCCCTTGCTTTTTTCGGGGGGTAGAGAGCCGGCTCCCTTTAATGTGTCTGTAAGAAAATATCAATGTTTTAGGGGAGAGATAAGTAAAAAATGGTATTTGATTACTAAAAGAGTGGAATGAAATTAAATTTAAATGTGTCCTTGCACAAATATTCCCTATTGTTAACATAACTCTGATATTTTTTTTTAAACTGTACTTCAATAATAAAATAATAGAATATTTTTAGATTAAAATATTTCAATAATTTATTACTTTTTAAGGTTTTAGGTATTAAATTTTAATACCATTTTTAAAATCCTATTAAATTCCTAATAAATTATTGAAGTATTTGAACTAAAAACCTTATTAGTTCATAATTAAATATATAAAACCCTAAAAAATAACACACTAATTAATTAAAAACCCTAAAAGTATATGAAATGTATACATTTTAAGGTGTTATTTTTTATGGTCTTATGTAATGTCTTCTGAAATCCTTTTAAAAAAACAAACAAAAATCCTAATAAATTATAGAAGTATTTTAATTAAAAACCCTAATAAACCTAATTAAAATATTTATTAGTGTTTTATGTATTTGACTGTGGTTTATTGAGGTTTTTACTTAAAATATTTCATTTATTTATAGGGTTTTCTTTGGAATTTCTTGGATTATTTCTGTAACCAATACATAAATAAGGAAATAAAATAAATTTATACTTTTTTTTTTAATGTATATATTAAGTCTAGTTGGCAGCATTCACTTATTTTCAATTTTTGTATGGATTAAAAATTGGCATCCTCACAGCTTTTTCTTCAGACACTCCTCCATGAATTTTAAATCGCCTTCGATTTAACATTTACATCCAGAGATTATACAGGATTTTATAACACATTCTTCCAAAGGAGGACAAAAAAATCTGTTTATATACATTTTTAAATTGCCGAATAAATTAATTTTTAATTTATTAATAGAAAAATTATATAAAAATTCCATTATGACAGCGAAATAGCGAAGATTCTTTCCATTAACAATACATCACGCAAGGAGTAGAAGTGAAGTTGGAGTGTCTCCGAATTCCATAATTTGCAGCGAAAATAACTCGGAATCTCTTCTTTTTTTAAAAAATATCGAACGAAGGATAAAGACAATTTACTAGTTTTTTCGGTTTTTTTTTTAAATAAATAAATTTCGAGTGACTTTGACCTATTTTACCAACGCATAACGCGACAAGTCGGAGTATCGAATGCTGTCGTGACAATCGGGCAAGTCATAATTCATCACGGGGACGTGAATAAACCGTACGTGACGCATTTATTTAGTAAAACATTATCCGTTCGATCGGCTTAGGGCGATAGATTCTAAAATATTTAACGGTAACGAGCGTATTATGGAGTAAAAACGACATACTACGAAGGGAAAGATGCGCCCCTGAATGGCATCTTCCCCTCCGTACTACGGAGTCGTGAATGGCTACGAATCTTCGCCGTTTATGACGCTTAACGCCTACTATAAGTGATCAATTATTAAAATTTTACGTCTTAACGACCTCTTTCTGAGTTTTTTACGTATTTTTATGGTTTCCGGCGCCGATTTTTTTTAAAAATAAGCGAGATTCGAGAGCCGAACAGGGAAGCCGAACGTACAGTTAATGAAGATAGATTAGAGTGACACCTACGATTCGCGTAATTTTTTAGATTTTTTTTTTGTAAGTTAGTTTAAAACGGAAGGAAAATTAAGTAAAGAGCGTAGAAAATTTTAAATTATTTTTCCGGTTAATAATAATACGTATTAAACCTCTTACCCGACGTGTAGGTAGCGGTCTTGCGGGATACCTGACCATCTCTCTGGATGAAGATCTGTGCGGTGTTGGTCAGGCAGAAACACGGCACCTTCTCTTCCCAGATCTTTTTCAGGCATTGTGACGTTTGAAAACACACGGCCCATGCTTGTTCCTCGCTGATCGGCGCATTAAAAGAGCCGAGAATGGCCGACAGACTGATACATCCATCGCGGTCGAGATGGCGAGATCGCTCGCAGCTCCCGTCTGCCGCCATTTTCCATTTCGAAGGAAGAATTGCTCGACGCGACTCCAAGCGGAGAACGTCGAAATTAGATAGATAATCCCACTTCATGCGGGAAACCGGCCCGAGGGCAATCGAAGTTCGGCCTCTCCGCAAAGCACGCCGGGAATTTTTTTTAAATCGCCGATTTGACGTCAGAGCCGCGATCCTTATCCGAGAGATGCGTCACGACGCGACGTCATCTCGGCTTTCCATCAACGTACGCGTTGATGGAAAGCCCGTTCTTTACTAAAACTGTATTTGAATAATATACAATTTGATGGCAATCTTTCCAGGAATACAATGGCACGTTTCCTCTCCCGCAAAACAATGACAAGTTCTTTAGATAAAATGATTCCTGTCGCCCGCGATTCGTGCAAAACACATTAAAGTGGCCAGAAATTGCTTGCTAAAGGAGCGAATTTACAATATATCATGAGTCTTATAAGATAAAATCCGAAGATAGCGAAAAAATAAAAAAAAACTAGGAAAGTTGGCAATTAAAGGTCACTAATCTCTGTGGGTAGAACAAGAAAAAAAAACCTTTCCATGTGAAACACTAACAGGCTGCAAATTAATATGAGTAGGAATATGCAAATTGTATATATGTTGATTATAATAATCATGGTATTATTATGTAATTAAATCTGCTGTTGCAATTAATTTTAAAGCCTTAACATGATGCTGGAAAACTCAACCTTCATCATCATGCAAACAGTGATTAAGTATCATCAAATTATGTAATTAATTCTATTTAGGTCTTATATATATATATGTGGTGTATGTATACACTATAATTATAGATCTGTACTTTCAGTAGGGAATGCCAAGTAAAATCAGGTTTAGATACTACACTATGCATTTTGTAATTTAGTTTCCTTGTCATACAAATGTAATTGTTTATAAAATTTTTGTATAGAAGGAAATATTGATAAGAGAATCAACGCGTGGATGTATTCGGTTGATCAACTTACACGGTACTAATCTTTACGGCCCATAGCGGGCACAATTGTGGGTCGTAATTGGCTCGACTGGCAACAAAGTTAGCCGGCGCGGATGAAGGATGCGAATGATTCGCCAACTTGTACTGCCTGTAATTATGGGATTTATAATAAGTTTTAACTGCGATCTCTACGGCAGACTTCCGTTTGGTCGACAATACATTTGGATAATTCTCATTACTTTAAATTCAAAAAACTACAAAAAACTTTGCTGTTTTATAAGTAAGATTAATAAAAGAAATATAATTTTTTTTTTTGGATGTTTTTACTTCCTAACAGCACTTTAGTACTTTAAAAATTGTAAAAAGTTTTAAATCTTTTGATCATTTATAGAATTTAATTATTGTTTCTAATTAAGAATTTAATAATTACTGTGAAAACATTACTCATTTTCTATAAATTATTTGAAAAAGTGTTTCTAGAATGATTTTAAATATAAAAAATTTAGTTACTTTCATCTAATTAATTAATGTATAAATTAAAAGTATTGCAAAGGGAGGAAAAGAAAATTCATTTTCATTTTGATCCACATTTTTCAATAAAAACAACTTTAAGGAACCATCACAAACCTTGGGAAATGGGTCCGCCAAATCTTTGACATTTTGTAGTTTTAGCAGTCCCGATCAAAAGTCTTCGTAGGCACAAAATAAAGAGAGACGGTTCTCGAGTTAGAGCATCTGAGACCCAAAAAAAACCTTACGAATCCTTAAATCTATGCTTTAAAATATAAAATGTTTTCAATCATCATTGATGTTTGGCACACTTCACACACAGATTTCCTTGTGGAAAAATCTGTGTGCGAAGTTTCATTCTTGCACCATTCATTTCATATTATGCTGATATATACGGTTCACTTTTCTAAGTGACACGAGTGCCTCTCTTGCGAGAGGCTCGTTTTCCCCGATACTTTATAACAGTGTCCGCAGAGTGAGCCTCTCGCGAGGAAAGGAACGTACAGTACCATTTTATATTTTAAAGCAAATAAGATTTAGGGCATCACGGTGAGTGCAAATTATGCATTTGGATGATTGATAACTGAAAAATTACTCCATTTTTTTTATTGTGCCTATAGAAACTTTTGTTCACTAGAACTACAAAATATAAAAATCTGGCAAATCCACCTAGACCACTTCCCCTAAAGTTTGTGCAGGGTCTTTTTTTATTTGTAGATATTCGATGCTTTGAAGCATCAGTTTTATAACACATCACATCAGAATACTTTGCTCAAATTCATTTGTATTAACAATTGTTAATTTTTTAATTATTAATCTTTAAACTGCATTAAATTCTATTTGGTGTTTTCATGAAATAACTGCTCGTCTTAGACTTCAACAACATAAATTAACACAAGATTGCAACATTATGTGCTGGCCTAAATTATGCCAGTATGTCGAGAATTCTCATGCAGTAGGTTGCAATATTAATATCGAATCTACAGAGGGTGATAGTTTACAGCCAAAGCTCCCCTCTATTTAGAGAAACAACAACAACTCATCATTGGGATGGTTCAAGTATTTTTAAACCAAAAGTATTGTTTTGTGGATTAAGAACTACAAAAGGCAGGATAAAGTGTAACTAATGCAAGCCTTAAAAGAAAAAAAAAATGGAGAAAATATACCAACAACTCAATAAAAACACACAAAAATGTACGCACTTTTGAAACTGAAATCACAACTTAAAACTAAGCTGCTACAAGCTTGAATACACCAACTCCAGCAGGCAAAAATGTTACTGTTTACACCTAATATTAATTTCCCAATCAACAAAAGAAACATTTGCACCTTTGTTCACTCTCTTAACTCAATAAACATTGAAACATGTCAAATTCATTAAAGCTATATAGAATATTACGTAACAGATGAAAAAATTGTAGACAAGAGATGAAACTGAAAGTTCAGGTCATACAGAAGATTGAGATTTGGGGTGGAATTGGCTTTAAAGGCAAAACAAGACTGTTTCACTGATTATAAGTGATAATCAATTCAGCATATATTAATAATTATGTTAATAAATTTTATGAATATCCCAATGACAGCTTTATCTTTCACCAAAGATTTGGCACATAGCTGTATTAGCATTTATGGATAGACATTTCGAGTATTTGCTCCAGAAAAGTAGAACTCTAAATCTCCAGATGTTTTGCTAATGATTTATTTTGTCTGGGAATATATGAAACAAAAATATGAAGAACGTCAAGGACACGGCGAGACTGAAAAGAGAAATCAGCATTCGGAAAGAAGTGCACCAAGAATTAATTGTGCATTACGGCAGCAGTCTCGGCACATTATAAAAATCTACAAGGCTTTAGAATATTTATAATAAATAACTTTTTACTGTTCAAAACTGGTTGTAAACTATTGTCATCACCCTCTAAGCTAATATATGAAATTTATGTATACTTTTATCAATCGGTATTTTGTTTTCTTGGGTAATCTTTCATCTTCAGTTATGTGCATTGTATAAGAATTCCGTTTAAATGTTTTATATGACTAAATTAGCGAAATCACAAATACTTTAGAGACTGTGTGTAGTGGAAATTGTCAGTTTTGGATCCCAAATTTTGGACTCCAACTGGATGACCAAAACAGGTGAAAGGAACCATATCTATGACCCTTGGCAAGATATAATTATTAGAATGTCTGATCGAACTGCTTGTTAAACACACAATAGGCTTGCAGTGTGACTCCAATTGCACCCACTGAAATTAGTCAGTGAAATGAATTTTCTCACGTCTTACACAAACTTTTAGCCATCTCTAGTAAAGTAGAAAATGGTTGTTTCGAGAAACTCTTAGATTTTTTTTCACTCTTAAATTTTACACCATTTTTGAGGGTCATCGGAATGCCAGATAGGCCAATTTTGGGGGCTATATCTTGCACATGGACCATCAATCCCTTTGACTTGTTCCCAGTTATCTACGGCTCCGGTAATGTCCCGACTGCCTGGTTCAAAGCCACATCCATACCGAGTTTATCGCAGAATCTCATAAAAACGACACTGAATTGTAAAAATTAAACGATAAGTAGTTTATTAAATAAAAACCAAATTATTAAGCAACTTCCATTACTACATAATGCCAAGTTTATTTTTTGCAAATAGATCAAAAACAAGTACAAATCACTTTTCGAGAGGGGATGGGGAAGAAAAAAGAGATCCTTCATAATGCAAAAGTTTTCTTATTTTTTTTTTTTTAGTTTTTTTCCGTAACAAATAGTGAACCTGCTGTTTTCACACTATAAAAAAGAAGACTGAAATGAAAAATGTACATCGAGATGTTCAGAAGCACCTTCGGACACAACACTAAAAGACATAGATCTTGCAATAAAGACATTTTTTTTTTTTTTTAAAACATTTGTCTAATTTATATGTGACTACAAATATCGAAATGAGTTCTTGGCAGTTTTTATAAATGTCTAATTTTGATGTGCTATCAAAAAAACACTTTCTTCTAAGAAGTGATGGAGTTTCTTCACATACAACAAATTTTTTTTTTAATTTTTTTTTCAGTCTCTAGAAAATCCATACATCACTTTGAGAGTAAAATGGGCGATGCCATTTTTTCGGGTGAGAATTATAATTTTGTTTGCTTTTTTTTCTCTGAGATACGAGTGATGTTTAGGAATACTTAAAGAGTTTTACGACTGAACGGTTGCAGTATTAGAAGTGGTAAGTGGAATTGTAGGTGCACCAGAGTTGGACCTTTGTGCTTCTGTTGCTAGAGAAGGAAAAACATTTTAGAAAAATCAAAAATCATTTTCTTAATTCCTCGCTTTCTCCAATTATAATCAATATAATCTTCACTCACCAACGCTGCCTAAAGGCATAGATGGTGGTAAATTGGTGAGAGCAGGCACCTTCTGTCCTTCGATGACTCTGGTTTGTTGGTCTTTTGGAACTGGATCTAAACAATAAAAATTGTCAATTAATAATAGTTATGTAATGTAAATGAGGGATATTCATGACGGAAAGCATTTCTCCTTTTAGAGGAGCCGCATTCCACGAAAGCGACGAACTACAAACGTGCATTTTGACGAAACAATTTGTGATCTTTATTTCGTCTTGTTACACTGCTTTATTGGTTGACAAAGTCTTTAAGGAATTCTTTCCATAATTTTTTAAATTACAAAATGGTTCTGCTCCCTTTTCCGGGATAATCGACAACTGTTACTTAGAGGAAGTTTACCAAAAGTCAGAATGTGCACTAGAATATGAAAACTAATGATGAAAAAATAGGGAAAGTGACACTTCAGTCATAAAAGTCAACATCGTGGTAACAGCTAAGGATCGTGAATACCTCTACATATTACGAATCAATCTCTCTCATTGAAAACCTTAAGATGTTTCTCAATTTCTTGAAAACCGAAAATGAAATCTCTCTTAAACTCTAGCACTATTGAGCTTTCAAGTATATCTTTCGGGATACCAACACCACTGTGATAGAATCACAATATGGATTCTAATACACCATCTTCTAAATCTGTCAATAAGCTTGGTACCCCTTAAAGATGAGTTGGAACAAAAATCACTAATACTAGCTTTTAAGAGAATTTTTATCATGTCCAAGAATGCTTAAAATGTTGATAATACAACTACAAAATAAACTTGTTTTCCTGAAGTTCTTCAATAACATTTTTAAACACCTATTAAATTCATATACAATTAACATAATAAAATTTGAATTAAGTGATTAACACTGCACATTAATTATTAAATACAGTATCAATCTTAACTTTTTGGAGCACTCTCCAACATAAAACTACCCATTAAAATCAAACATCCATAAACATCTGTGCCAAAAAGTTAGATTTAAATCCACTGTCCAAACTAGAAACATCTTAATGCATTCGAATACAGGATGGTTTGCTCGGGATTAAACACTTATGTAAAACACCTGCATGTGAAATTGAAAAGCCGAGCACAATAAACAAACGGAATGTTTATTTCACAACAAAGCAGTCGACTGAGATATTTTAACATTATATGTTATTCAAGTGCGACTGTGTAATTGGGATGTATTGAACAAAGTGTTCGATCCTGAGTGAATTATCCTGTAGATTATTACGGCAAACAAAAGTAAAAACTTAAATATATTTTATATTTTCATAAACAGTTAAGATTAATATAAAAGGAATTACACAGTCTACTAGTTTAACAGAATTAGAGATTTAAAGTGAATGCAGTTATGTTTTAAGCAGAATTTTTGGTCACTGCTTCTACAGTAGAGCATCGATTATCCGACTAAATTGGAGACTCAGGTTGGTCGGATAACTGAAAAGAAGGGAAAAAATACATTATTAGTATAGTATATTAGGATATTAATACATCCCATGTAATTAGTTTATTAGTATAGCACTATTAACCAACTTCACGTTGAATTTTCATCAATGTTTAGCCTAACAAATTTTTTTTTAAATAATAAACGTTGCTATTGTATCGTTAAAAATTATTTTTAAATTATTTTGTTGCTCATGAAACAAACAACCACTCATAATTAGAAAATTAAGTCTCATTTAAATACTGGCCTCCCTTCAATGGTCGAGCCGTTGATGCCAGCTAAAACATGCAAAAATTTAACAGAAATAATATTAAAGTAGCCAAGACATAGACAAATATTGTAGTGCCATATCACTAGCGGACATTTGAAATTTGCCGACTAGAACGGTCGGTTAACTGATGTGATGGTTAATCGATGCTCTACTGTATTTAAATTTTCAAACAAATTAATTGTAATTTAATTTCCTTATTTGTACCGATAAGTGGCACAGATTTTGAAAGTTTTAATACTAGTTTCTTACATTGTTTATTAATTAATGATTTGGATTGATTTCTCTAATTTCTATTTTACTTCGATCATATTGCCAAATAATTGTATTTGGCAATATGATCAATTAAGCAACAAAATCAAAATGAATCTGTCGCAGAAAAATAGGAAAACTCCTAAAAGATAAAACAGTTTGACAAACTCAGATGCTTGTGTGCACTATTTCCAGCACTAATGTTTAATAAATGTTAGATAAATGGAAGATACATGACACACAGCATCTGTGTTTAAGAAAAATATGATTCCTAGAAGAAAATTCTGCTGAAAATTAAGCATGACTGGTCTGATACTTGCCTTAATACAGGTATTTTGGAGGCGATTTCAAATTGTAGTAACTTTGAAGACATCTCATACTATTAAATGATTTTGAAGTATAGAGTGGTTATAATTAAACCGACCCCACTGGATCCAGTTCTAACAGACACTAGCCAAAGAAACTTGTATATGCACTATTCAAACCGTGGGAAAGTGTTTTCTGGGAATAAAAATTAGTTCAAATTTTCACCACCAGGCAAATATATGGCACTTCAAGAACAAAAACTACAAGTCAATTACACTTAACTTTACACCACATATTCAATATGCAAACCATCAGCATCAATTACAATCTGGAGCATGCATTTTTCTTTTTTAAAGATACAACAACTGATGCAAAATTATTTCATTGCATCAGTTATAGTCTAGGCCAGTGATTCTCAACCATTGTGCCGTGAGATTTATTAAGTGTGCCACCACTGGGAATACCCACACATAAGCAATGTCAAACAAGTACAGTCGACCCCCTATAACACGGGTTCCTATAATGGAAATTCCTATAACAAAGCAAAAAAATTGTGGCAGTATTCGTATAAAGGGACTCGTAAAACATTGAAAGATTGGTCGAATCTGGACCAATAGTGGATGAGCAGCCAAACTACTTTCCGCTGTCCAGCACCACGCTATGGAAAGTTTAGGTGGGTAAATTGAGTTTGCTATCATCTGTACAGTATTATATATAAATTAGGTACTGTATATATAATTATATATTAACTTAATTTATTTTAACTTTATTATAATTATATATATACTTTCCGCCGTCCAGCACCACGCTATGGAGAATTTAGGCGAATAAGTTGAGTTTACTATCCTCTGTACAGCATGTAAATTAGGTACCCTAAGTCTAATACAGTACTGTAATTTTATACATTTCTTGTGAAAGAAACATTTCTTATTCAACGGCCATAAAAATTATTTATATTAATGATGTCTCCAAAGATCAAATTATTTTTCTGCAAAAAATAATTGGTCAGAAAACGCGGCCGCCGTTTGATGCGCTGCTCCATGACGAAAACAAGCATAAGCAACGGCGTAGTCGAACGGTGCACACTTGATAAGTAATCCTACAATTTTTTGTTTATAGCATAGTTTATACGGATTATTCCCAAAAAATTATACATGTTTTGGAAATGTTGAGTCGAATTAGTCTAGAATCGGTTAATTTTATAGAAGAAAACCTTTCAAACAGCCTTAGTCCATAAACGTCACACGTGTCGGGCTGTGATTGGCTCATGTATTTAAAGATTCCTACAAAGTAAAATTCTTATAAAGTGGAACGTATCTAAGCGTTATAGGGGGGGGGTCTACTGTAGTTGAATTGGTTCTTCCTTCCTAGGCAGCCGATCATGGTTTACTCCGACAGCCAGTCGTCACTTCAGGCCTTGAGTGACGGGTACCATCGAGACTGTAGGGTACTGAGGGCTAGGCATGAACGGCGAGTTGACCCATGGTGAGTCTGAAGGCATATTGGAATCTGAGGCAACAAGCGTGCTGATTTTCTGGCCAAGGCAGTGGCACAGGGCCCATTTGTAACCAGGATGGTCGAACCCTCAGCCTCCTACATAAATGGTACTCTACTGCAACGATCGATGACAAACTGGCAGGAGAACTGGACTCAAAGTGCAGTAGGTAGGTCAACCTACTCCTTCATGCCTGATGTTGCCCAAACTCCAGTAAGTTGTGATTCGTTAGTGACCCAACTGTTGACCGGTCATGGTAGGTTTCCCCACTTCAAGTCCAAGTTTGGACAAGGAGATGGTTGCTGTGGGTGTTCTTGCAGAGACGCGAGGCACTATGTACTTGATTGTCCTCTTATGGAGGACTTCCGCAAAACAGTTGACGTCGACTGGTCCCAGCCACCCGAGCAAGTACTTCGAATGCTGGCAGCAAGTAAAGGAAACCTATTGAGACTAAAGGAATTGATGGTAATTGTAATAGGTCTTTTCAACCTAAGAGCCCAAGTGTTATACTGGGACAGGCTCCCTTCCTGGAGAAGGGGGTCCCTCTAACCATTTTCTTAGGCAAAGTCCCGAGTGGACATTCAGCCATTTGGACATGTAGAGGTTTGCAACTCAGTTGTCTTAAATGACAATGTATAAGGTAACTTATTGTCAGTAAGAGACCTATGTGCAGGACAAACTGCACCAAAACTTATGTCCCGATTAGTGGTCTGAACCTGGCTTCCCCCAGGTTTGACATAGAGTCAAAGGCACCTAGTTGTAGCGGGGTGTCTGACCACTTCCTATGATTCAGACATATTCTCTATTGTACTCTGTAGTGCCATTTGACGGAGCAGGGACAACCTAGAGTTGTGTGTATGAGGGAGGGAACATTTGGAAATTGTAACCAGTGTTACCAGTAACTGCTGCTAGTTACCAAGGAGTTTAGAAAATGTGACCTAAATAACAAACAGCATTTAAAAATCATTGTTATAATGTCACTGGCTGTCCTGCAGTACTTACCAAAGTAAACGTGGGTGCCACCAAATTTTTAAATTATTAAAAGTATACCATAAAAAACAAAATAAAGGTCGAGAATCACTGGTCTAGGCACATTGTTTTCTACAGTAATTTGCATGACGTTATATTGCCATACTTTTGCAAGCACCATACTTTCTTAGTGACAAAAATTTCTGATAATTTTTGTTTTACAGAAATCTATTTCCAAAGGTACAAATAGCGTATACATTGAGTTTCATCAGTACAATTGTGTATTGGAATTGGCCTAGCAGGTTCCAAGTAGGGATAAACTTACACACATTACTTTAAAAAAGGTTATCCGTTGCTGCTCTAGATACATTCTCCTCTAGACAAGAACAATAATTTCTACGTGTAGAAGTAAAAATAGTTTGTGTACTTACAGAAATAAGGATGTTCCATTGCTTCTCTGGCAGTAAGTCTTTCTTGATGATCATATCGCAGAAGTTTGTCCAAAAAGTCTAAAGCTTCCGGACTAACTAGATGTTGATTTTCACTATGAACAAATCTCTCCCAGCGTTTTCGAGAATGTCTAAAATAAACATGTCAAGTATTTTTTTATTAATATTAATTCAATGTAAAAAAAATAAAGAAATTAACTTTCAAATAAGACAAATATTCTGAAGTGGAAACTGAGAATCTAGCATAAATTTTGTTTTAAGCATCACATGAAATGCTAATACAGTAATACCCCGAACTTACGCGACAGCTGGGACTGAGCAATAACCGCGTAAATCAAATTCATGTAAGTCGGGGTATAATTTCGCAATTTGTGCAAAATCCAAGTCGGATGTATGTAAGCTAATAAATGTTCTCGTTAATCTTATCTCATCTTTTGATTTGTTCACGGTTGCAAGAAATCATCACACAGTGTCTCTCAAATCTCCATAGATATAATAAACACAGAAATAAACAACACACAATAAATTGTAGTTGTGTGTTGATTCCGTGCATCACGTCCGAACATATAAGCTGAACAATAGTGTGGGGGAAGTGAATAATCAAGAGTTACATGGCACTCAAACAAAAGACAAATTGATGCAATTCGAAAATCGCATAACGCTGGGTTTGCGTAAGTCAAGGTATTACTGTACAGCAATCTTCAATTTAATGGACTTGAGATTTAATGGAGATTTCTTCTCTAAAAAAATAACTATAGCCATCTCTCTATTCACCAATAGAGTACATTAAAAGACAAAAAAATCAATGAATATGAATTACTCAATGTATATTAAAATCATTTTATTCATACTTAAATACACCAACATTCTAATACAGTAAGATCCCATCTGACAACTTCTCAACACTTAGGCTGTGTACACATTAAGCATTTTTAAACGCGCATTTTAAAGAATCAAGAGTTCTGCATAGGCATACATACTCAAATGCGCGCTTTTGGCCAAGTGCGCGTCAAATGTGCATTTATAGATTTTTGTTAAAACACGAGTTTTACGGGCGTCAGCAGCGCGTTTTGAGATATATGTGCTGCCATGTTGTTGTACATTCGATTGCACACTTTCGGGTAGAGTGGACATACGTTGGCTGAATTGGAGAACAATCATTTCGATACTGATCTATTTATTGATGAAATCTAAAAGAAACCAGCCATCGTCAAATGATTTTATAGATATTCTAAAAGAATTAAAAAATTTGGGTTCGTATTATCTTAGTTTTGGATACAACATCAGAAACATTCCATGCGTCAGTCTATCTCGTAATATTGGGTGCACCCAAAATTCTCTTTGCCTCTGCCATCATCTTTTATAGCGACGATGGAGGAGGCACAAAGTAGCGATTACTTTCACGTCCATTTCCAAACTGGGCCAGTGCTAATGCTCCACTAAACGGTCGTCAAATGCCGAGCTAACGCACGTTTAACACAACACAAAATGCCTAATGTGTACAAGCCCTTAACGTAATTGAGAGGTTTTCAGAAACTGTGAAAATAAACAAAATTAACTTTACCATTGACTAACTGATATAAACAAGATATAATTCTTCTTACTTAATCATATTTAAATCTTCCAGCATTTATTTTCCACCTCATAAAAATCAATTTTACAGTTCGTAAAGAAAATTCAACAATGATAATTATAAATGATTACAAATGTACTGTACATGTATCTTTCCTCAATAATGTTATAACAAAATGTTAAGTATGGACTTACCATCCATCATGTACAGTACATTAATGAATTACAATGTACCATAAATTTTTAAAACACACTCAATTTAATAGATTTATAGCAATAGCAGGCAGGTTCATCCTCCAATTAGTTGTTAAATTGAGGATTTACTGCATTGTATTCAAAGACATTCAAACAGTCTCGTTTCTGATATAGACATCTGTTTAACTTTAATATGATTTGTTGTTTAATGGCACTCACTTTGATCCATAATGCCATACTTGCCGAATTAAATTATTCCGAACAAATTACTTGCATGAGAAACTACACGCACTGCTAAATTTAGAAATTCTGGATCTGGATCCGGGTTTTTGGAAATAATGTCGGAACTAATGCACTTATTTTTCCCTTATTAGTGTATTAATAACCAAACATTCCAAATTGTAGTGGTAATTAATACAGTAATAAATGGCATATATTTTTTATATATACTAACCATTTATTAGCATGTACTTACTATTAGAGGGGTCTATTATTTCTATTCTTTATGAATTGTATGCAACTATTATTCAAAGACTATTAAGTGAAATAAATCCAGTAGCTTTTTCACTTCATTGTTATTTCAACACACCACCACCAATATTTTATTTTAACATAAGGTAAAAGTGATAATGCTGAAGAAAATGTACAATTTAAATTGAATTGTTATGCTGAAGCGTGACAATATTCAAGAGGAGGAAATTTGTGTGATCATTCAAACAACATTAAACTTTGAATTTTTTTTTTGTTTCAATAATTTGGTTTAAACAACAGTATTTTTATCATCATATACTAAATCTACATTTTGAAAATGTGTAATAAAACAGCTGAATTATTCAAACATCTTACAGCTTGTCTCGCAAATCTCAACTGCAAGGTCTGTAAAAATGCACAGTAGCAGAGACCAGTCTACATGGTGTGTTCAAAAAGTATCGGACCTTTGGTCGGCAAAAATAAATTTATTGACTTTGAGGTACAAAACCCTAATCCCCTTCAAAGTAGTCTCCTTGGTAATGTATACACTTCTCCCAGCGTTCCTGACATTGCTGGAAACACTGCTGGAACGCATCTTTTGGAATGGCCATCAGACGGTCCGTTGGATTCCGCACGATGTCTTCTCTCGACTAAATTTGGGTTCCTTTTAGTGGCATTTTCAGCTTGGGAAATAGCCAAAGGTCACACGGAGCCATGTGGGGAGAACATGGAGCATGACGAACCACAGGAGTATTGTGTTTGGCGACGAAAGCCCGAATCAGATGCGCAGAATGGGAGGATGAGTTATCACGATGGAGCTGCCAAGTTTTGATCGACCACAGATCCGGTCATTTGCGTCACACTGTATCGGAAACACGACAAAGGACCTCCTGGTAGTACTCCTTTGCGATGGTTTGGCCTTGTGGTGCGTACTCACGACACACCACCCCACGAGAGTCGAAAAAACTGTCAACATGACCTTTGATATTGCTGCGGACCTGCCGCGCTTTTTTCACCTCGAGGATAGTCCCCGAAAGCCTGCTGAATCTTGCGAATGGTTTATGCTCGGGTATCGCCAAGGTTTTTGGCAAAATTTGATGTAATATCGATGCTCACATTGTTCAGTCATTTTCCAGCTTAGTGGAATCCGACGAGAGCGCACTACATGACCTCACTCATAGGCCGATTGCCAACGACTGACGCTTCCTGCAGGCGGGAAAAAATTCAGGGCTGTGCATGACTGTCCCCTCCACAACTCCACCGAAAGAGGCCTCTCGCGCATCATTGGTTTACGCGGAAAAAAAGGTCCGATACTTTTTGAACAGACCACGTATTTACTAAGATTGTTTGATAAATCTTAGACAAGGCCACAGTGCATTACCAAAAAGAGACTGTCAAACTTTAAAATTCCAGAGTCCCCAGTACAATGCATTGTTTAGCCAAGATGTATGAAACAATCTATATATTTTATGCATACCAAAACAACTAAGATTAACAAAACTAATACAAGTTCTGTTTTTAACATTACTTGTTCAAAAAAAAAAAAAAAAAAAAAAAGCTTTTTTAACTGGTAAACTTACCTTCCAAGTATATCGTTGAATCTTGGATCGAGTATAATTTGGTATTTGTCAAGATAAACAAACAACTCTTCGGTTCCCAATACTTTAGCAATACGAACAAGCTGGAATTGTCATTTAAAAAAATTAGTTTTAATTAAGTTTATCATGTGATTTTTAAAGTTTTCCAAATAAAGTTACCTGATCATAGTTATCATGCCCGTGGAAAAAAGGTTCTTTACGAAAGATCATGCTCGCGAGCATGCATCCAAAACTCCACATATCCAAAGAATAATCATACATCTTGAAATAAAATAAGCATAGTCAGTCAAACAATATGTAAAAATGTTATTTTGAAACTATATTTATATTAATAATAAGTTAATTAATATCATTTAATAGCACTAAACTCTACACACAATTCTTATTATTTGAGATACAGTAAAACTTTGATTTAACAGACAATTTCCAGTCCATTTGTCATGTGAAAATTAACACCCTGATAATTTTAAAATGCTTTCAAATGCAAATAAATTAACAGGTTGTTGTTATTTTTCAAATCTGAGAGTCACCACTCTTAACTTCATGCGTGATGCATCTTCATATATCATCCAAAGATGAATAAATAAAAAATTTTTTGGTTTTTCTTTTAAGTTTAAGTTTTTTTAACATTTATTTCTATTTAACTAAACAAATAAATAAGTGTATTTTCCAAAAAAATCATTTATTTATCTTGATTCAGAATGTGTACTTGTTTATTACACTCTTGGAACTATGGTGATTACACCCTAATAATGTTACTTGTGTAAATAAAATGGCAGATTTTTACTCTCTTATTAATTTAATACTTCAATCAGAATTGTATCCACCAACATTAATATACTTTTCCCAATATATATTCCCAATAATAGAAATGCATTAACATCAATTTGATAGAAATCACAAGAATGAGAAGCCAAAAAAGTCATTAAAAGGTACTTTTTATTGCATTCTCTTCCTTGACTCCTTGCCAAAAAACTGTCCAAATGTATAAAAAAGTGATAGTTTGTTGGCAAAAAGTCTGAAGAACAAGGCAGATGGGAAGAATTTCTTTAGATATTTTCATTTTTGTGGTAAATAAAGAACTGAAGACCTTCAAATGATGCTTCCTATCTCTCTTGCCGAATTGGTGTGATACCCAGTCGTCGAGCTTCGACTTTATCTAGCATGTTTAGATGTCGAGAAACAGTCAAAGAATGTCCAGTATGTTTGACCTTTTTGCGATTTCCCGGACAGTTGGGCAAGGTACCAATTCAACAATGATCTTCAATTCTGATTTTTGAGATTTGTATACCAGGAATGAATTTTCTGAACCAATGCCAGGTGGCCTGCTTGTTCGCAGAACCTTTACCAAAAGCTTTTTATTGTATTTCGGGTTGTTTCGGATGAATTATGTCCCAGCTCATACTTGTAAAAGAAAACTATACATACATAATTTTAATTACACAAATGTATTTACATACGTAAAATCAGATTAATTAATTAGCTGGTTTTTTAATACACAATTTAGAAAACCTACAGTGGAACCTGACTAAACGATCATCTAGCATAATGAGCAAAACAAATTGTAAAAAACTGCCTCTCTTAACGAGCAATGTTTTGCATAATGAGTGACGAGAAGAGGAAAAGTCCCAAATTGTGCTAAACACAAACTGATGGAGCATGTGCACTTGTTCCACAATTAGCACACTTGTAACACAATTAGCAGTTATATTTTTAAAATGTCAACATACGAGAGACGATTATGCTAAATAAATCCAACAAAATTTAAAAAACAAACTTACTTGATAGTCAGAAAGTAATTCCGGACCTTTAAAGTATCTAGATGCAACACGAACATTATACTCTTGCCCAGGATGATAAAATTCTGCTAATCCCCAATCTATCAATCGTAACTGGAAAGAGAAAATTACGTTTTAAGCTATTTATAACACCGACTCAATTTTTAAAACGATAACCTTACCTTTTTGTTTTCGTGATCGATCATAACATTATGCGGTTTCACGTCTCTGTGCATAATACCCAGACTATGACAGTAGTCGAGAGCCTGAAATTTAAGAATTTAAATAATGCAATTATATTGTTAAAACAATTAATAAATATTTTTGGCAAAAAGTGAGATGTCTTTCTTTGTAAGTTAAATTAATTTATTATATTTATTTGTGTATTATCAGCATACTTTTTATTGTACATAGTTTCATAAGAGGCAAATTTGTTACAGATTAACTCTCAGTACATTTAAATTACAATGACAAAGCAGTGCAGTGCTCTTATGTATGCCAGAGACGTGTAAAAATAAGGAAACAAGTGATTTTTCACACTTAAGAGCATGCTCTTATTTGCAAGAAAATACAGCAATAATAATAATAAAAATTATGAGCTTACAGAATGATGCCTATAAATACCTAAAATTTTACAGCTAGATAACATTCGGCAAGGACAAGTTAAGGATGTGATTATCAAAGAATACATTCAAAAATGAGAAAAACTGCTTAAGACAAAACTGAATGGTTGTAATACCATCAAAGCCACCAATACTTGGGCCTTCACAGCCAATTTCTTAAACAGATGGAAGGAAAAGTGGATGTAGATGAAAGTGTGAGATATCCTGGGGGCAATTAATCAATCAGATTAATTGTAACATGTAATGATGAAATGGAAAAAAACCCAAATCTCCACCTGGCATTTCCATTGCCCTCTGGTCCGTTAGATAAAAGATGATCAAATAACCTTACAAATCATCAATCTTTAACATTGTTTTGAGTAAGTTGCTGAGATAAGTCCCAACACTTAATTGTTCATTCAGGAGAACGTCAAAATTGTTTAAATTATGCAATAAGAGAGTCGTAACACCTGTAAGAAGTATCAACAATCTGGCCGAGTCGTCAATTTTTTATGGCCCTCATCAGCCAGATCAATGACACATCTTGAAGACAAAAATAAATCAAGTCACCTGATTTTATTCTCACAGTCAGTGAGGATAAAAAAAGGCACAAACCCAATCATCAAGGGCAATCACTGAAATCACTCTTACTTCTGGCCATGGATCTTCGAAGACTTCATCTACTTGAACTCCAAATGAGATATTATGTTTAACCAGTGTATGTAACCTCTCTCTTGATCGGCTTAATATAGAATTTATATTTAATATTTAAGAAACTAGTTCCGCGCTAGAACTACCCATCTAAAATCTAGTGCTCGATAAAGAGTTAATAATATATATCAAATTGTATTTCGTCTTCAGTAATCTCTTATATTAAACTTGTTGAGTTATTCAAATGACTGCTTCATCTTGGGTTGCCAACACCTTATCAACAACCTCACTAATCCTCTCCATTTGAACTACAAAGTACCCCCATTTGAATGTATCCTTAGAAGAGTAGAACATAACATTTGCAAGTTAGTACACATTAAATTTTATCCTAACTGGTGTCAGGACCTGACATCGAAGGGATCTTAAAATCCTGATGGCAACTAAAGATAACGCCATCAATTGACAAAGTGAGCAGGACTAACCATCCCAACATCGACAAAAGGGTTTAGAGTAAACCACTCAACCCCAGCTTCTCACAAAAGTGACAATGGCTTCAATTGAAACATTTGAAAAGAGAAACTGAAGGACTGATTCTAGCTGCTCAAGAACAGGCAATTAGAACAAATGCAAGCAAAGCCAGAGCTAAAAAATCAAGAGCAGAACAAATCATGCGAAGCAGCAGCTGAAACAGTCACCCACATACTCAATTCATGCAGAGATTGCACAAAATGAATACAGTAGAGCGTCGATTTTCCGAATCAATTGGGGACTGGGGTTGTCCGGATAACTGATTTACATATGAAAAAATAGTTTAACGTATCCAATGTCGAAATTTTTATCTGTTGCGTGTCGCTTCACGTTGAATTTTCGTCGATGTTAAGCCTAACAAAGACTATTGTATCGTTAAAAATTATTTTTTTATTTTGTACAAACAAAACAAATATATTGAAAAATATAAAAATAATAAAAAATTATACTTCAGATGTTAATTTAGTATCAAAAACGTAAAATATTTGAGTAGCCCAAGACATAGCCAAAGATTG